ACTGCTTAACTTGGGCTAAGTCCAAGTATATATACTCAGGTGTCTTTTCAAACTATTCAGTGCTTCCATTTCTGGGAATACAGTGCAAGACCATTCACGCTGTCTGCCTGCTGGCACATTAGCTCAAATATAGCATCCTGCCCAAGCAGCTGATCTACTTCCAGAGATGGTCCCGCTGCATTTTACGTACTGCCACATCTGAACTGATAACGCCCTGCTGAATGCAGGCCTGGCTCTGCGTAAAGCCAGCCTGAGTATTTTTGCCTGAACAGTGTGGTTAACCTGCAGACCAGATAAACTGCCTGCCTATTGTGCTGACTAGCTCTAAATATCACTCTACAAGTCCTCTGCAGTAGCTCTCCTGGCAGTGTGCACTTTTCCCTCTCCCACTTATCTCCCTTCTCCCCTCTAGGAACACAGTATCATGGAAAAGGTAGGCGATAAGTTCATTTTGCCCTCTTTCCTGCCCTCTTTTGCCCTTCTTTGCCCTCTTAGAGCTCCTGTGGGGTTCAGTTCTGTTGTGGGGGCTTAGGATATTCTTCTTTGTACTTAGGTAGGATATGAAAGAACTTGATCCCTGTGGTACTCTGGTTTTCTCGTCAGCACTGAGAAGCTGACTAAAGTGAAGTTTGAGTAGAGGGCAAGGAGCGCAAGGGTTGTGAGTTGGTATCAGGCATTGTTTAGCATTTCTGGCAAATCTCTGTCACACCCTGTCTTCATGAAGAGCTGGTATAGATCTTTACGTTACTAATATGTCTAAACTGAACAATTTTTCTTATGTTGTCCTGGCCTCAATTCTTTGGACCCCGGTAGATATATTGATGTCCTTGCGTTCTATATGTGTTTATGATCTTCAGTAATAAGGTTCTGGTGCTAATGTGCAGATGTGCTAGAGAAGTCACAGCTAAAAATGTAAAGCCTAAGTTCCTTCAGTAAGGTGCCATAGGTTAGTTTGTTAATGTTTTTCATTCCAGAAAATACTGTGTATCTACTCAATGTGTATATGCATAGCTAATTTGAAGTTCTTTTTAAATCTGGAAGTGGAAGTCTTGGGGGGGGAAAAAAATTCCCTAGAAATCTAAGACTATTTATAGTGTTAAAGAAGGTGACATACAATCTGTTTTTCTTCTGAAGCAAGGTTGAGAGATATTTTTTATGTGCTAGGAGTCCCTGCAAGTGAAAGTAACTGATGACGGTGCATGCCAAATCTGAGAATCATTAAAGCAAAATATAGCGATGTTAGGTTCTGCTTTCCCTCTGTGCGTTGTAAAAGCAATGCAAAGAATCGTATCACTTCTGTATACTTGGGGACAAGACACACTATCTACTGGGAATTATGATATGAGAACTGGCTCTGCGCTTTATTCAGAGGTAAGAACTGGTCAGAAGCATACTGTTCCAAAGCATGCTTCAGCCTGGAAGTCCATTGCCATTTTACTGTGCTACTTCAGGCTGACTCTCATGCTGACATTAAAACAAAAAAACCCCAAAGCTGGTAACTGGCTAGGATAATGATACAATGAGCTCATCCCTAGACCTCAGGGAGGGAAGCCTGCTTAGTCAGAGAGCCAGCAGTGCTCAGCCGATGAAGCTGCCAAGTGTGAGCTCTCCTGGAGCATAGTCATGCTGCAGCTTGAACATCTATCACTTCAGCTGAAACTATGGACTGTTGTTATTAAGATGACCTACAAGATATTCTTCTGCTGTTCTACTATGTAGAAAGAAATTCCTAAAAGCTACTTTTTGTGATGTTTTCTTTCTCCACCTAATACTGGCAGCACTAAATCCTATTTTTTTAAGAGATCTCTTAGTTATGATTTCTTTATTTTCACAGGTAATTGGGTGAGTTGGGACGTTCAATAACTGCGTTCAAAAGTACCTTAAATCCCTTTCCCCCCTAATAATGTCATTTTCACTCTCGTGAATTTTGTGCTCTTTTAACTTCAAGTTTTTTCAGTTGTTACAGTCTTCCAAAGTGAGAAGGTAACTTCCATCAGAGGTGCAGAATATTTTTAAGAACTCTTTATGCAACACACAAGTACCAACCCCTTTCCCTCTTTGTAGGTTATCTCTGAACTTCTTTTGTAAACTTTGCATCTTAAGACTTTAGTTACGTTTCTTTCCTAGATAGATGCACCTGTAAACCAGACTGAGCTATGCTCTGTATGCTCGAGACTTCTTATCTAGTAATGGAAAGAACAGAGCCAAAGTCCACGCAAGTGGAAGTTTGGAGAGCTGTGGTAATGCGGCACTTACTCACTCATCTGGGAGGCCTCTTTTAAAAAGTCTTCTGGATACTTGCTTATGGGGAGTAGTTGCTAAACCTCATCTACCTTTAGTATGAACAGCAACAGCTTTGTTTTAGAGGGTTAAAAAAAAAAAAAAAGACCCTTAAAGTTGTATGCCAGTGTTCTTCCTCAAAGTGTAGAAAATCTGTTAAGCGGAGTTCCTAAAGGCTGTCTTGTAGGTTGAAATTTGATCTAGTGGTAATGTCTTGTGATCTACAGAAAAACTTAGTTCTTTTTATTGGAATTATTTGCGTGACCCTTACGAAAGCATGCAGAAGCATCAGTGGAAGGAAAACTGTTATGAGGTTGTCTGTGTTGTGGAGAAAAATAGCTTGTAATGATTTCAGTAAGTAAAATAGAACTGTAAGCCACTATCGGTAGTAGTATCTGCAGTACTGTGGCGAAGCTGTTAACGCTGTTAAATTTATAGCAGTGCTGCGAAAAGCAAAGAGGGAGAACAATATTAGCACTCTTGAGAGGCATATAGCAACCTTTCCAGCTCTTCGTTTTTGCTACCAGGGATCCAGTGTCCTGCTGTGGGATATTTTCCCCTCTCATACTGAGGTTTTGCAATAGGATTTCATCAAATAAGTTTTGCTCGCTTATGTACTTAGTTGCAATTTAAGAGATTTTTCCATCTCACGTGTCCATAGTTTCTCCCAGAGTTATTTTAGTCCTGTTGAAAGAGGACTGGAAAATGAGCTGAGAGCCTGTGCTCGGAGAAGGAAGGAACGCCCTGGCGCTGCGACAGGGCTGGATGGCAGCGGTCCAGGGTTTGCAGCCAGGGAAGGGGGAGGGAGCATGGGGAGCAGCTATGTAACAGGCCAAGGAAGTGAGTCACCTCTGGCTGAAACGCAGGCCCATGACTCCCCCAGCACCGAGGCCAAGCTTGGCCTCCGCCGTGGAAGTTGCATAAGTTTGAACCCTCTGCCTTTTCCTCCTGCTCCTCACGCTCCCAGCCCCACCCTAGTATTGAAATCTGCGCTGCAGCCGTGTCCATCTGCAGAAAACTCAGCTTACAGGACCCTAGCGTGCTTTAATATTTTTCATTTTATGAAGAGAGAAAAGGATTTGTTGCAGTTTTTGCAGGAGTACCTGTGTGTTTGTTTTACAGCCTTGCCTGCTTTGTGTGGACTTGTGAAATTCCAGGCAGTTTCTATACAAAATGGCCTCATTCTTGCTTGGGAATTCCCTGTCGTGCGTATGGTAGGAAGGGGAAAGCTTTCCGTGTAAAAGGAGAAGAGATTTCTTTTGCAGTTGATCCCTAAATTGCATAGTTGTTTCTGAAACACTTTTGTGCCTGGAATGAAATGTTTCAGGCTGTTTCAGTAATAGCTATTAGTGAGCGCGCAAGCATGCCTTCATTTCATCAGTCGGTACAAATATTTCTCTTTGTTTTCAAATCTTGCTGCAAGTGCTTTACCTGCAGGTCCTCCCATAGTGTGTGTGGGTTTTTTGTTTTTTGTTTTTTTTTTCTTTTTAATGACCAACTCACCTGAGGTGGGGGAGTCTCTAAACTTCAGTTATGCAAAATTCCTGAAGGGGCACGTTGCTGGAAGTGTTGCTTGTTGCTGTGCCTCCAAAGCCTGAGAGCCTGCACTCTTCATTATTTCATCCCTTTACCTTTAAAGTCAAGTTTCCCTTAAAGAGATATTTAACAATCTCTTACTATCTTTCTGAAATATGTTGGCACGACATGACTGAGAGTGGAGCAGACTGCATGTTGAAGAGAGGCGGCAATAAGGCCTTGTTGTTGGGGTTTTGATGTTTTAAGAATTTAGTTTAGTTTGAAACTAAACATCTGTAAAATGCTTTAGGTATCCTAATAGAAATACTAACAAATCTCTAAAGAGAACATGTTAGGCTTTAATACTGTAAACTAGGCTTTTAAAGTATAAGTTTGTGGATTGCTGTTTTTTGGGGGAAGAGGAGGGTAGAATTGTCCTGGACTGTACGTTCTGGAAAGACTTTCTACTATTATTTTTGTAGCTGTACCCTAACAGACGTGTGGTGTCCAGGAACAGCTGTAACATCTGCCTGAACCGTGAGTATAACCTGAGCAGGAGCAGTAGCTTTCAGCTGTTGGAAAAAGCATCTGAGAGGGCAAGAGGTTGCACAGGCGTTATCTGCAGCGCATGGATGCATGGTGGGCAGTTCTTAGCTGGACAGCAGTTGTAATAGTGTCGTGGTGAAGGAAAAGCTGCTTTGTGACCCTTTCCTTTGAAATGCTGAATGGAGCCTCTTACTGCATGCTTGGCTGCAGCCTTGGTGTGCAAGTGTGTGTGTTTTAAATGTCTCTGGGAGACGTGGCATGACACATGGTTTGTCTTTTTTGGCAAGTCATGAGGCTTGTTGTTGTTTTGTGTTTGGATAAAAAACAGATTATTCTGGCTACAGTAAGATGGAAATAATCGGCCAGGTGAGAAAGAGTTTAAGAGAAAAGCCTTCGGAATGAGCTGGAGTGATTAGTCAGTAGTCTGTGCGCAACTGCGGTTTACATCATGCAGATATAGTCTGATATCTATTTTGTAAAAGCAAGACATTTTATGTTCTCCTAGCAGGTCAAATCTATCTTATTTCTTACCTGTATAATCCTGATCTTCATTTCCATGGAAAACGGGGCAGGCATGCTTGTTATTGCTTACTGTGTGAGGGTTTATATGCCAGTTATGTCTGCTGATGAGTCATAGCAATTGCTTCTCTATATTTCAGGCCCTAAAACTAAGTGGACCCTACTGACCTCTGAACCACAAAGGATAAGAGTGAAAAGAAGTGGGAGAAGCACGCGAAGAAAAAGGAAGTGGATGCACTTTCATCCGGACTTCTTTCCTACCCTTTATTACTAGAACTGAATGGAAAAGAGAGACTTCTGTGCCTTTCCTCCCCCAGCCTCAGGGATGGGTGGATTGTGAATACGGTTTGTGCAGCTGGGAGAATAGTCTGAACCATGAATCTTCAGGCTCAGCAAAAGTCCTCAAGCAAAAGGACTGGGAAACGAATTGCCTATTTTAATGAGCAGGAAATAGCTGTGTCATCAAAAGAACCACAGCAGCAACTTAAGGAAGGACAGTACTATGGGCATGGAGGGAATATACCAGTTTCCCAAACTATGGAGATTTCCCACGCAGGGGGATTAACAAGCGCCCCCAACAATGTTGCTTTGATAAACTCTGTTTACAATCAAGATCGCGGAGAATCGATGTTGATGTCCCAGCCAGAGACAGCAGTCAGGTGGCAGAATTCATTGATGGGAAATCGGTTGCCAGAGAGGAGTGACTCCCACTGGCAGTCTCCACCTGCTATGTGGAACCACAGTATGGTTTTTGGGGGCAACCCAAAAGGACCGCATTCCAATGCTGGTGCCCCTGGTTTCTATGGCCATCCTGAAGCCCTTAAAAGAAATCAAGAGAAAGGAGTGTTTGTGTCACAGCTGGACTTTTATGAAGATGCTGTCCAGCAGATGATGTCCCAGAAGGCTCAGCTGGAACAGCAAGCCCTAGTTAGACAGCAGGCCCAGATGAATTCTTTTCACCACATGCAGAAGCAGCAGCAGCAGAATCAAAGTCTGCCATTGCAGCCTTTCCAACTTGCATTTGGTCACCAAGGCCAGAAGCAAGGTCTTCCTGAGTTGTTACATGTCTTTCAAGAAGCCCCAGCTTCTTCCAACCCAGCATTTACTGCTCCGCAAAAACAACAAGCTCTTCCCCAGCTGCAACTGTTTGAAAATTTCTATCCCCAGCAGCAGCAGCAACAGGCTGCCACACAAGCCTACAGCCTACAGCAAGCTACTTCCATAGCACAGCCTCATGTGGCTGCTGCAGCACCTCAGCATCACATGATGGCACACCAGTTTCAGCAAACAGAGAGGAACCAGGAATTGCTCAAGGCGCTAACAGAGCAGAACCAACAGACTGTGCTACCTCAGACCCAGATCCCCTTTCCAAGAAGGTCACGGAGACTCTCCAAAGAAGGTGTCCTGCTGACATCTGCAGGAGAAGTGCTGGCTTCCAAGCAGGCAGAAGAACAATCCAGCAATTTATTTTTGCATCACTGGCAAACACATCAGCAAGAGGTCCCATTACAGCAGCCTCCTGAAGCACTGGCCCACAGCAAAAGTAGCTATTCACACCCCAAGAGAATGGATCTGGGGCAGAAGGACGTCCTGGTCAACAGCGAGCTGCAGCTGCGCCAGGCAGAGGCAGACAGGCAAGCCACAGCCCAGAATGGTAGAGATGGAGAAAAGCAGACAGCAGCAGCTGAAGAAAGCACTCAGAGGGCTAATGACTTTCCAGGTGTCAGAGGTGGGGTAATCCAGAGTACGCGAAGGAGACGGCGTGTTTCTCAAGAAGCCAACCTGCTAACTTTGGCCCAAAAAGCTGTCGAGCTGGCTTCTCTTCAGAATGTCAAGGTAAGATGTACATCCTAACCAGTATGGCATAAGGAGCCACTTATACAACACAACAGGGCTGAAATGCAATGAATTTATGCATGTAGGTTAGGAAGGTATCTTAAAGTAAGAGGTGCTATACCACAGCAAGGGCATCTCTGGAATGGTGAGGTACAAGTTCAGCTGCTGTAAATCTTAGACATGGGAGAACAGAGATCTCTGAGTGCAATGAAACAAGGTAAGGGCAGTGACTTTTACCTCACTAGTACAGAGTGATATTTAGCCCAGGACTTCTAAATATGGGTATTTCCTCCCTAGGTCTCTAGCAGGTCAGGAATTTAGAATAAGTAAAATCAGTTCACTTGATTTCTTTTGGCCTATGAAATGTTATCTTCCTTTTACGCTAAAGACTGCTTATGTGCCAGTTTTTCAGTTTTAAAGGTTGAAGTGTTTCTAAATTGTGCTACCTAAAAATTTGGCATAATATATTTCACATGTTGCATATTACCCAAATACTAAAAGGCTGAGGAAGCCTAACTTATATCAAGAAGCTGTGCTGGTCAGAACAAAGGTCCATCTCTTGTGGTGTCCTGTTTCTGAGAATGGCCAGCAGCAGATGTTTAGGGATTGATGACCTGAGGACAAAGTCTGCCTGTACAGCTTCTGTAGGACTTGATAAGGAAGAAGTTTAGTACTGGCTGAATAAGCATATATTACTTTTATCCTTTTTATGTCCCGTCATTATAAACTGTGCAGCATGTGTACTATATGGCAAGATGAGAAAATGCAAGGTTCAAATTACCCAGCATAGGGGAGGCCAATGGTGGGGTTGTTTTGGGGTGGTTTTTTTTTTTTTTTTCCAGTTTTGGTTTGGTTAATCTTTCAGTGTTTGCCTCCCGTGAGGAGTAAAGAGATGCTTTCCTTTGGAAGCTTTGTTGCCAGCAGGTGACGAAATAGGGGTGTTAGAACACGAGCTAATTTTACCTACAGTGTTTGGCCTCCTGAGCTGATGCCCAGTCAGACAATGAGAGGAAAGGAAAAGTGTTGTCTTTTTTTTTCCCCGCTCTGTCTTATCTTTTTTTTTTTCAGTCTACCTGTGGCTGCTTTTCCAGCCTCTTCCTTAGACGGATGGGCTGCTTGACTAAAAGAGCTGAACTAATAAAGAGTGGGGCATGTACTCACGGCCTACTCCATTTCTTGCACAGAAAACAGCAACCAGTGACTTGATACTGTCTTCAGTCCTTTTTGGTTTAACTCTGATTAAGCAAGCTATCTACTAATGGATTTCATAGCAAACTAGGGAGTAGTTAGCAGTGTGAACTATTTTCTCCTAACCTCCCACCCATTGCACATTTATATTCTTCCAGGAAGGCCTACATTCAGTTTAATCACCAGCAGTGACAAGAGAAAACTAAAAGAACATCTAGGAAAAGGGCTTGACAGTTGAGACAAGAAATTGCTCATCTGAAGGCATGTCTGCTTGTACCTTTATAATATGAAGACAAAACAGAGAAATATTTTTGACAGATGCTCATTTGTTCTTTACTATTATGTGAACAGCTTGTTTGCTTCCATGATGGCACTAGCAGAACTCCTCTTTATATTCAGATCTTTTCAGGCTTTCAGGATGAGTTTTTTAAAGAGGTTTAAATTCTTATCCTGGGTCTGACAGATCTTGCATCTTTAAGAGGGTTAGATATCATGTGAGAGAGAAAAAGAAAACGTGTTTACCAGAGAGTGGTCTGCCTCTGTTATCGGTGACTTTTCCCAGTATAAACAACCCAGAAGCTTTCTAGCATAGGTTATGTGAGGAGTATGTAAGAAGGCCATACAATTAAATTACTGATAAACAAAGTTATATTCATAATTTGAATCAGTTGTTTGAATATTCCAATGTAGATAATGTGTACCTTATGCAAGAGCATTATTTTGGACAGCAGTATCTATGTGACATATAATCGGGTGTATGCATATGCTCTCCGTGCAGGAGTTGTGACTCATGCTTTGTACCAGAGCCCACCTAGTGTGCCTGCCCTTTTTCAGGTAGTGCAAGCTTATTGCTGCTCGCAAACTGCGGCAAACCGACTCTGTATTAGTGTTTCATTTCACACACAACTCTGCTGTATGTGAAAAGTTGGTAGCATTTGTTTTGTTTAATAACAAACCAGAAAACTTTTCTCAGATCTGAAGTGATCTTTTCAAGATTGCCTGGATTTAGATATTGCCTTATGCAGTGCGGGTTTTCAGGCAAGTGAGAAGGGAGTGGATTTATAGAAGGGAGATGTAGGCTGTAGTTACCCCACCTCTTTCCACTTGCACAGAGAGGTATTGCCCTTGGGTAGAGCATGTATTCTCAGCCCTACAGCAGAGGAACAGCTGCTGAGCCCTCTCTTTTTTCTGCACCTTATATTCATTGCACCTGTGTCTAGCTCTGTGTATGGGTACTTGTATTTGCTGGGATATTGCTTCCTAGCTACATGCTCTTCCTGCAGATTTTTCATCCTTCTTTCTTATTCTCTTCTCTTCCCACACTCAAACTGTTTCCACAGTGACAGAAAGGCAAAGATGCTGAAAAATCCCAGGCAAATAGATGAGGCTGACCATAGGTTAAAGACATGTGAGAAGTTAAGAGCAATAGCACAGGCTTTTGTCTTGCTGATCTCCATTGTTCAAAATGGGAGAGGAAAAACAAGGGTGCCACCTGAGATAACATGGAGTTAGAGATTGTTTAAAGGTGCATAAAGCACTTCCCCTATGCCCAGCAGTTCTTCACTGGTGCTCTGCAGTCCTGGGTAGTTCGGTGCGCCTTAAGAGCATAAAGGTGGCAGTGATGAACATGAAACCGTCAGGCTGTGAGACTGGCAAGACGCTGTTTCCTCCCTGACCCCAACTCCAGTTTCTGACTTGGACAGCGCAGTGATCCATGAGGGGAGCCTTGACACAGACCTCTTACCCCCTCACTCAGCACATGGAATTGATCGAAGCAGTATCAAAACTATCATGGTGGGTTCAAATGGAGACTACAACACTGGCACTTTCAGACAACTGAATAATGTCAGCTCCTGCCATGTTCATGGCATCACCTCTGTAGAAGGAGCCCGATATACCTAATGCCTTTACTTCAGTGACTTTCACATCTGCCTTTCTCACGGTCTTCCCATAGCACTGAGGCTGCTGGCTGGGCCACTGGATACAGCATGCTTGTTCATGTTGTTCCCTACTGAGCCCTTTAGACCTTTCGCTTCCTCACAGCAGATTTAGGCAGCCACCCCAAAACAGACACTTGGGTGCCAGAAATGCTGTTCAAGGCCCTAATTTAGAATATTATTCTCAAAGGCTTTAGCCATATATGTCCCTTGTCCATGTGTCTCCAGGGCAATTTCAGGTCAAAGAGATTGTTATTCATTTCACAAAAACAGGATACTTTGTTTCAATGCAGCCACATTCTCTTCCAGAAGAAGCAGTGTTTTCCCCAGGATCCCACTGTTGGATGATTTTTGTAGGATTACAGACGTTATAATGTGGAGACATTTGACCGTTGCACATTACTAAAAGATGGACCTGAGGGTCCCACACACCTAACCTCTGCAGCAGTGAGATCTTGCGGTAATGAAGCCTGTCAAACTTGCCTAGCAGATTTCAGCCATGGAAATGTCCCATTTTTGCACCTGAAAGTAAAATGGACAAGATGTACTATCCCTTTTAGCAATTAAGAGAACCTCTAGAACAAAAAACTTGGCGTGGTTTTGTCTGTGTGGCAGACCTGAGGAACTGCAGTTCTGGACTCACCTCCTTCACAGATGAGCTTCGGTTTGACTTCAGAGAGAAGTTGCCTTTCCTAGCAGCAAGGTGATGCAGGACAATGGCAAAAGGCAGTGTACAGGCAGGCCTTTCTGAGGCTTGTGTGGTTTGTAGCTTGATCACAGCAGTGACCTTGGAACAGTTATTCCAGCTATCACAACTGGGTTTTCTCTGTGAAATGCAAATTTTTTTTGAAGACCACTTGAGCGATAAATTTGGTAAACCCCCAAGTGACTGAGTTTCTGTGAATGTCCTGGAGTATTCTAGGTCAGTCGTTCATCCCTTGATATTTATACAAGAGCCTAAATGAAAGTACAACAAGTTGCACTTGCTGGAGTTATCCAGCAGCGTTCCTGCTCCACGCTGCAACAGAGACTCTGAGCTGGCTGAAAATCCCTAGCAGTTCTGCAAATGAAGGTCCTATCCCTTGCTGGGAGGGCTCCTCTCTGCTTACCTCTAAACATAATCAAACAGTTTGAGAAAACTAGGGATCTGAAACAAACTGCTTGGTCCCAAAATTGATTGTCATCTCTTAGCAAACCTTTGAAGGCATTGTAGGTACGTGTGATCTTTCATTCCTCTGGACTAGAGCATCTTTGAGGCTGTCTCAAGCTCTTATATTAAGTTTCCCTCAGTGCCTTTTCTCAACCTCTTCTATTGTTCAGGTCTCCTCCTTAGTCTTCTCTCCAGTAGTAGTAGTCTCTTCCTCATAAAAGAAGAGAGTCCATAGCAGGTTATCTCTCAACCTTGAAACTAAAAAGAGCATGGTCCATCGTACAGCCAGAGAAATATGACTTTTTTTGTGTGGCTAGTTGCTGTAGTTTCCTCCTTGCAATCAGGAAGTTAGTTCATTAGTTCCCCAAGTGACCTATGGAGATCTGTGCTTGCACACAGGAAGTATCTGAGATTTATAGATAGGCCAGAATTAGTACTGGTTCACAGTTTTGCTATTGTTCTGTTAAGTACCCAAAAAATATTCACCAGAGTGCTTGCAATAGTAATAGCCACATCAAGGAGAAAAAATCATCTGAAAAAAGCAAGACTCTTACCCTGCAGCGGTCTGCAATGATTGCTGTATCTGTTCTAGGGTGCAGTCTAAATGCAAATCCCCAGAGACCACTCTAAATGCTGGTGCGGAAGTATCTACTATGGACTTTATTGTCACACGCTGCTCCACAGGAAGACCTCAGAGCTATCCCAGATGTTTATCTAAGCTTCAATAATAAGGTGATGTGATGACAGCATAGATCTCCCTGCTGAACGGAGGTCCTTGTATAGCAGCATGAAACTGTATACAAGGTGATGCCTCAACTGCAGGCAGGACTAGTGGAAGTACATATCTGTTTCATGTAGATTTCATGTAGATTTGTGTGTCTTAAAATGGCATCCTTGTTGGTCTGTCTTTCCTGAAGTAATGGACCATATGCTAAAAGCATTTGCGAGAGCTCCTTGCTATCCAGAGATAGTGTTCCCCAGTGACATCTTTGTCAGCATGATGAAGGACATCCAGATGTAAAATTAATAATCTCGTGGGAAAGTGCAGGTGCATATCAACATCCTGGAGCGAAGGGAGGTCCTCAAAGCTCGTGAGTTCCTCCTGCAGAGCAAGCTGGGGCAGTTGATAGCAGCTGTGACATTTCAGCTCTGTGTTTCATTATTGCATAGTGGGGGCTGATATCTCCAGTTTCTGTGAGGAAGCAGTCAAACTTCCAAACTACATATGGGAAAACTTTTCTGTGCACGCTTAACCTTATTCTAATAAAAGGTTTTGGAAGAAGGGAGTCCTAACTCATCTTGTTGTGATCAATTTTGCTTGCTGAAGCTTAGCACCTAGGTGTTTTGAAGGCTTTAGTGTCTCAGAGTGGATCTGTTTACTCTAAAAACAAACAAAAAAAAAATTGGGTCTCTTGTTTGGAGAGAGGCCAGAGCCCTAGCTGCAGACTCTGACTGATGCATCCTTGTAACAATGAAGTTGTACTTCTCTCGATACAAGTATAGTATCACAGTGGGCTTTCGATCTAGTCCTCCTAGCTATCATGGGTCAGCTGTGGCACGTGCTCTCGTTTATCAGTGAAGCTGGCTTTCTTGATCTCTGTAATACGGTGAAAAGACCAGGGAGGCAAAACCTCCTTATGCTAGCTTTCTATCAGGCCTGGGTGATCATAAGGACATACAGTAAATTCTTTTTGAAGACTTTGAAGTAAATGTCTGCAAAATTTTAGCATTCCCGTTTGGAGATCTCTTGCCATACCTGAGAGGTGATATGTCTTAGTTTTCACTTTGCAAAGCACGGAGCTGTTCAGGTAGATTCCTCAGCAGTTTGTGACTCTGAGAGATGATGAGTTTGCATTCCTAAGTCCAAGTGCAACTTTTTGTACTTGCATTTAGGCTCTCGTATAAGGCTTTTGAAACAGAGCTCTAATATGAGATGTTCCGAGAGAGTTAAAGGAGTGTTTTCTACAGCTTCTAGATTATGCTTCAGCAGATCTCAAGCAGTGCCTTTTACATCCCAGAAAAGAGGAGTTTTCAGAAGTTATCCTTTGACATCTGACTTCTGGCAACCTCTTTGAAGTTGATACTAGAGTGAAACAAACGTGTGGATAGTCTTTTGAAGGAGTAGAAATCACTTATCTAACAGTACCTGAAGTTATTTTGAGTCACTGAATAAACACATGGATACTCTAATACAACTTCCATTCCTGTCTCTTTGGAGTCCAGTGTCCAGGGCTTCCTTGAGTAAAAGAAACCAGAGGCATGGAAGATGTGCTGTAACAGCTGCCGCATGCAGTTGTGCCATATTGATCTTGTTAAGCTAAAATTCTTCAATTAAGAAGCTAGATAGCAAACCTCAAAGGCTCCCAGTATAATAAGAAAAGCAGCTTCCATCATCTAAATTGTGAAAACATGCAGGAAAAAGTTAACTGTTTTTTTTGTATGAGAGATTTCATTAACTTTATCATGGTTCAACCTTTATTTTTTTGGAAAAGAAATCTAATATTTAAAATAAGTAACATGCAGCTTACAGTTATTACTAGAACTGAAGAACCTTTGTGGAAGTCACAAGCAGGGTGTAAATTGGTCTAGAAAATAAAATTTCAAACCATGGGTGGTGAAATGAAGCTTAAGGGTGGTTTATATAAGTTTTCTAGCAGTTGAGATTTTAGACAATCCTAAAGCAATTCTTATAAATTTTGCAAGTGCTTTTATCGAGTATCCTTTTTCTCCAGTACCATGTTCTGAATGCCTTTCAGTTTGCAAGTTGCATTAAATTACTTAATTTACACTCAAAGTGAGAAGTCATCTGATTGTAATTTAAGTACTAAAGAACTCTTAAGGAGTCATCTTTTCCTCTTCTCAGGAATTGGATGCTTCAGAAGAGAAGAAGAGTGTGCTAGTAGCAGCTCCAGGACCTACAGCTGCTAAAAGTGTTGTGGAATTTGCCAGTTCTTCACCAGCTCCCAAAAGAGCCCGAGAAGATAACAGCCTTGTGCCTCTTATCATTCCTGTGTCTGTGCCAGTGAGAAAAATTGACTTGCAGAGCCTTGGAAAGGAGAAGTGTGAGGATGGGAAGCTCCAGAGAGGCCAAATAAATGATCGGGCTCCTTGTGAACGCAAGCCTTCTGTGATAGTCACTCGAAGACGATCTAATCGTAATACCAACATGGAAACCTCAAATCAGGTATGGCTAAGAAACCAAAGATGAGTCAGGTCTAATTACATAGTTTTTGTCCATAAGCTTTTCTATTGCAATAGTTTGATCTCAAGGCTTGTACTTGGAATGGATGTAATCTGGGGACGTTGGTTATGGTTTTTTCTTTCATATCATTGCCATATCATGTTTAATATTTGCATACCACTGGCTTTTCATGACCTGTGCTAATACAGCCAAGGAATGCACCACTGCTAAGCAGTAGAGTAAATAAAGGCAGATGGTCAGTAGAGTAAATAGTGTGTCTGCTTGATGTGTTTGAATAAAGAGTGCTTTCTTCATATGTACATACATACCATTATATTGTGAGTAGTGCATATATCTCTGTGTACGAGTAAAATACAAACTGAAGATTCACGCTCGTGGAATTGATATCTCTTGCTGAGGTTCTGAGGGTCAGTACTCTGTGTTGTTAAGGGGGTGGTTTTGTTTTGTTTTGGCCTGGGTTGGACTTTTTGTTTGTTTCTGCTTTTGTGTCTCCTCTGTTGAGGAATACAGTAGAATATTCTGATATCCAAAGAAATGATGGTGCCAGGTGTCCAAGGAGGTTTATCTGCATTTAAATGCTTGACTATCTGAAGAAGTATAATTGTACCTTCTTCTGTTATTTCTCTTATTGCTATCTGATGTCACCCTGCACCTGTAATCAGAGTTCTGCTATAATTGTACGTCCTCTTTTAAAGTTGACATGAGGTTGTCACCTGGTCCAAAGGTGGGACCAAACGTGTGAATGGATCTTGTAAAATGTAACTTCATAAGCACTCAGGTAATGTTGCTGCCTAATGGGTCTTGAGTCCATTCCGTTCCCCATCTTCTTCTTCCCTCTTTTCCTTTGTGCTAATTGTTGAGACTCCCCCGCAGTCCTATCCAGATTTTGGGCTGCCAGGAAAAGATGTTATCATCTCACTGAAATTTTTCAAATCACCTGAGGTTTTAAAATGAAATCGAGTGTGTAACTTTTTTCTAATAGCATGAAGATGCTGTTCCAAAGGATGAAGCAGAGGGCTTTGCCCGGAAACCAAAGCAGCGCCCAAGACCTGAGCCACTCTTCATACCACCGAAAGCTGGCACATTCATTGCACCACCAGTTTATTCCAACATTACTCCATATCAGAGCCACTTACGGTCACCGGTCCGTCTGGCAGATCATCCTTCCGATAGGAACTTTGAGCTACCTCCTTACACTCCTCCTCCAATTCTTAGCCCAGTGAGAGAAGGATCTGGGCTGTATTTTAATGCTATCCTCTCTTCGAGTGGTCATTCAGTTGCACCTCCAATGACTCCTAAAAGTGCTCACAGAACTCTGCTTAGATCTAGTAAGTTCATTTCCCCCCCCCCTTCCCTTTTGACTAATTTGTAACGAGAAATTGAAGCAATAGGAGGACAATTATGACTTTAGGAGATATTGGTATGTGGAGCCTGGACTTCTTGCTGATAAAGTCTGGGTAGCTGGGATGGAGGAAATGCAAAATTGCTTCCATCTGGGAATGCGTTCACAAGTACTCTGCAACTCCCCCTAGTGACATCCTCAGGAATAGATTTAATACCGAAAAAGTCGGTTCCTCCTCTATTCTCTCTTGTCGTTGTCCTGAACTGTGGGGCATTAAATAGTTGTTACTAAGATGAAAATGGTGACTAGAAGATAAGTTCTCCTTAGACATCGTAAACTCCTTTAGCAGATGACTAACAGTTAGTTTTGAGAGAGGGACAGCTCTGATATGTTCTCCATGCAGCTTGTAAATTTATCTCACATTTGAACATGGATTCTGGCTGAGCAGTTCTTTTCTTTGCCTTGCAGATAGTTCAGAAGTTACCCCTCCTGTTCTTACAGTAATGGGGGAAGCCACCCCAGTCAGCATTGAACCGTAAGTACTCACTAGAGTCCTAGCTTGATAGTAAACATGGTTCTTTTTATGCTCCTAAATCTTCAAGCTGCTCCTTGTGTGGTGATGCATCTCTTAGAAACATTTGAACTTTTTCTATTAGTGACTCAAAGTATGAATTACCTTTATTTAAAAAATAACTGCACACAGTAAATCACATTTATTTTAGGCAAGCGTATCTCGTAATTCTGGTGATGTAACCACTTTCTGTGACCGTGGATCTCTCTCTGGGCTGAAAAAGTATTAGCTAAAGTTAGCTAAAAGCGAGTATGTCCTGTTCTGCTGTATGCTGTATATTTGTTTTAGAGTGGGGAAAGAATGCCCCTTTAGAGGAAGGGCAAAAACAGCATGGACAAATATAGTTGGCTCTCAGATTGATTGTCCAATTGCAGGTTATCTATATGGTGCATATTAGCTTTGACACAACCGTGAACACAATTTTACTGTTCCTGGGCTAGTCCAGTGTGAGAGCAGTACAGCCACTTACATAAGGCATGAGGCCTGAGCTAATGGGTTATTAGACTTTTTAGCTGGCTACATGCACAGCAAGTTCAGACATACCTGGACCTAGCTGCACTGGGGAACGCAACGTGGAGATACTGAAGCTACAGTTATGAGCTTAGGCTCGGCACCAGTCCTGCCAAGCCTGGCAGGAAAAAGCAGAATGGCAAATGTCTATGCGCAGCCCTTGCAAGCCCTCTAGGAAGGTTATCAACTGGAGTGGAGTGCTGCAGAACTACAGCGACTCAGATCAAGTTCAGTGTTATACCAGGTTAATGAGCTTTTGCAAAATCTAAACATGGAGAAGCATGGCATGAAACCACCCACGTGGCATAAAGACACCCATGAGGCTTTGCAGCGCTGACTTTGTGCAGTCAGGAATCTCTGCTCTAATTCTGAAGCATATCCTATAACTTGAGATTGAGATTTTTAGCTCCCTACACTGTCCCCAAATAAAGAAGAACAGACTTCTGTTATGTTTGTCCTGAAATTGCTTATATTTAAAAAAATTAACTGGAGCATTTACTCCCAGTTTGTAGGGCTTCACCCCTTTTTACCTTCTCCTGTCATGTTCAATGTTGTTTTCTGCGTTTTTGGCAGCAGGCTCTCCTAAGCCGATGTTGAAAACGATTCAGTTGCAATTGCGGATGAGCCTGGATCGTTCTTGTCACCTTTGAACATTCCTTCTAGGCCCGGATTCTGGTTCCATGACAATTCAAACAGATATAAACGATTTCTAGTTTCTTCTCTTACATCCTGTCTTGCACCAGCACCGCTGGTGCAAGCCCGTTCGTGGAAATAAACCAACAGAAAACTATTTAGTTTCTTCAATCTATTCTGAAAATGGCTTATTGCTTCTTTTTGATGTTGGTTCCTTTTGTACCAATCCAGGAAAACCTTTTGTTGACCTGGTGCTTTTTGTTTTTCCCACAGGTCTTGATCTTTGAGCTCTGTGTCGCAATTGTCTTTGGCTATTACGTTTATCAGTTTAAACAGCTGAAGTAAATGGCATAACGTTAGCTACAAATTTAGTCCTGTGTGAAAAATTTCAAATTTGTTGCTGTAAATTTCAAACTGCAAAAACTTAATAATGCAATTTCATCTCCTGTTGCCGGAAGGGAGCAATGTGCAAAGCAGCATCTTGCTATGATCTTAAGTCTTACTGAACAGATCCTTACATAGATAAATGAATTTAACTTTTAACCAAGGTACATGAACAAGCTGGTGTCAATCTGTGTTGTTAGAATAATTAGTTTACTGCTTCAAAGTGAATTTGGGCAGCACCATTCTGAAGTCTGTTCTGCAAAAATTATTTAAAAAGAAAAGATGACAGGAAACACATTTTTAGTTTAATGATTTTTTTTTTTAAGAAACAAATATTTAATTTTCTCCATTAGCTTTTATTCTTGGCTCTGCCAGCTTGTGCTTACCCTATACTGAGCTCTAAATTGCCTCCTCTTTGCCAGACCTTCTGCTAATGCTGCTCACAAAGTCACTTCATTGCAGAGATTTGGAATAGGAAATATGATAATGAAGCTTAATTCTTCTATTTGCAAAACAGTTTAACAGGCCGCTAGTGCCACAGATCCCAGTGCCCTAGGGCTCTTGCTCCCTGTAGTTCAGTTGCTTCCAAGTCTTTCAGAGTCACCCCTCAGCTAGCCAGCCTCCAGCACAGCCCTGGTGCCTGAGGCTTGCTCTTGCCTTCTCAATTCACAGCCTCGTTTCTGGATCTCATAGTGCACTGGGGTGCCCCAGGAGTGCCATCAGTGCTTAAAAATCTTTTGCTATACTGAAATCTAGGCTTCATCAGTAAAGGAATCACAGAATAATTTAGCTTGAATACACCTCTAAAGGTCATCTGGTCCAACTCAGAGCAGAGCCAAATTAGATCAGGTTGCTCAGGTAACTGATCAGCTCTTGCAGCAGAAATCTGGTTTTATTTGGACGTTGCAGGTACAAAGTCTCATGCTTAGGCTCCATGAACCTAGGAATGCTGTATTATAAGTTTAGGTTCAAGATAAAGAGCAACTTCTGAGATATCCCTTCAAGCTCACAGTCTTTTTCTCCATCTTCTCCAGTTACCTCTCTCTCTCCCTCTCTTCCTCTCAGAATCGAGGCCAGAGGAGTCTGTCTCAGAGAAAAAAATCTCCCTAATTTCATAACCCAGTAACAGGTCTTTTTAATCTTGTTTGCAGTTAACAGTGAAGTGTTAGTGTTTGTCAACCGTCCTTTCCAGGGTAGGTCAGTGTCCTTAACACCTTTGCCTCCACTTTGAGACTGCATGTCTTAGCAATGATAAGCTGGACTAATTGCAGTGAGTAGAAAACTCCAGACTAACATCGTTCTGCAGTCTATCGCAGTGTGCTGAAAGGAGGACTTATCGGGGGTTTGTTTTGTTTTTGCATTTTAGCAAGGTCTTCTCTTCAGTCTTACATGAAATCTCCGACTTCTTATTTTCAGTGTGGATAGTGCTGCTTCTGTCCCACAAGATAGTCATGCAGACAGGTGAAGAAAAAATGAAAGCCCTTACAATGTTGTAATTTTAGAAGACTTTTGTGCTTGTAAAACACTCAAACCCAAACTTTGAGCTCTTCCTTGGATTCTTAATTCTCCATGCAGATTCCACTGTTAGGGTGCATTTGAGATTGAATTATTTTTGCGAAGCAGCATCCATTTTGCCGAATCTGTTTTCTAACACATCCTGAAACAGTTATAACCGTGGACATCAGAGATGGGATTTTTTTCAGCCACCTGAGTTCTCTCCTGCCTGTGGCCATGACTGGAAAAATGTAGTGTCTCTATCATTTTACCTTCAAGACTAAACTGGAGATGATGTTTTTTGGCAAATGGCAGATACTCTGTGGCAGACTGCCTGAAGCTTCCCTATTATATCTGCCACGCCGGATGTCATCACCCGCTGCAAGGAGATTAGCATCAGTCCATGTGCCTAGCAGATTCTGCTTGTCCAACGAGGAATCCCACCCCCACGTCCAGGTGCGGTTGAATGGGTAGACGAAGTCAGAACAAGTATATAGAGTAGTTGTCTTCTGCATCTCTTCTGCTATAAATACATGAATTATAAGCTGTTTCCCTCAAATGTGAGGAAGTAGACTTGGATCTGCTGTTGAAACAAAAGAAATAATCTGTTTGTAAAGTCTCTCTTCACATGTGTTAGAAGTCAGCCATTTGTTTTGAATGCAGGCATTTCGATGTTGTGGTGTCTCATCATGCAAATACTTACTGACAATATCGAAGTGATATATTAGGCAGAAAAGGAAAGGAATAAAGGTGTTTCCTTCTTCCCCTTCCAGAACAGAAAACAAAACTTTCTTCCTTCCCTGTGATACCATAGCTTTCTAGGACTTCAAAACATTCTATTGGATCATTTTGGAGCTGATCTCTGGGCTTTTCTATGGGTTATCTATGGTTTTTCAAGGTCTTATAGATATTACCCACCTTTATATAATATTTTATAGATATTCCCCCCACCTTTTTCCGGACTCTTGTTTTCACGGTAGACCTGTATGTGTCGTCTCAGAACAGCAGAGGACCGTAAAAGGGTGGAGGCTGCCGTTTGTCCGAAATGCTTTTGTTACTCTTGCATGTTTTACCAGATCATACTTTTTTTCTGCTAAATTTTTTTTCCCATCATGCTGAGGAAATGAAGCCAAGACTTGAGAATTATAATAAAACTTGCCTTGGGCCAGCAGTTATATGTATTTCTAATAAAGCTACTCTTTCAGAGTTTAATCATCTTGTGGGCACTGCCTGATCTACTCTGTAAGGACATCTTGTCTCTCCATTCTTTACCATTATTTCAAGAGCTGTCAGTCTAGTGCTAGTTGACTGAAATCCAAGAGAGAAACGTTTTTGCAACAGGCATAGTCATCTTACTTCAGAATAGATTTTCATTGTCTTTATAATGGTCTAAGCAGCACCAGTGCTCAAATATGTTGGATTTGGGTGTTTTTTGTTTTTGGTTTTTTTGTATTTTTTGCTAGCAGTTTGGACTTTTCTGATCTCTCTTCTGTATCTCTGAATTGCATACATAGTTATTAAATTACTTAAAATTAAAGTTGTCCTTGGACTTATCCAAAATATTTTGCACTGAATTTATATAGTCGCTGCTGTTTCTCTGCTTAGTTTGCCACTGATTAAGAGATGTAGAGCAGTGACAAAGGAGATCCATTCTTTCACTGCTTGCTGTGCTTTTGGTGTAGACCTCTCTTCTGGTAGAACAAAGCTCTGTGAATGGTCACTTGAAGAATCATCTACTTAAAGCAAGTGTAGTGCTCTGTGGATAGCACACTGTGAAAATACTATCCTGTAATTCTCAATCTAAATAGATGGGATTGTTGCCAAAATAATGTGATTTGGTTTTGATAAGGACAGGTTTTGATAAGGATAAGCAAGACAGTCTTCATTGTTTTATATCCGTGGTTTCAGTAGTTTGAAATAGTTTCTAGGAGACACCAGCTTGTATCAAGATCCTAGAGGACCAAACTTTGAGATTGATCCTGCTTTGAATGGGGAGTTCGACCAGAATATCTCCAGAAGTACCCTTCAACCTAAATTATTCTGATTCTGTAGTTATGACTTGCATGTAGCTATGGCTTATGCATGAGGAACAAGTTTACCACATGAGAGATTTCTGTGACAGGCTCTCAAAAAAAGGCTTTCAATATTAGCTTATTGAAAGCTAATAACTGTTCTTTGAGCACATTATGGGAAATCCTAATTTAAATACAGTTCCAAACGTTATTGATAAGACAGTGGAAACTGTTAATAGACATAAAACCTCTCACCTTTTGAGTCATATTTAGTAATTTAATCTAGAACCTCTGAAATTGTTCTTGCTGTATGCAAGAGCCTGCTACATTTCAGTTTCTTCATAATGCATGCTTTTAGCAGAGATGGAGACTTTCTGAGTATTGTAAAGAGGCCCTGACCATTGCTTGTTATTTCTGCAGGCGAATCAATGTAGGAACCCGCTTTCAAGCAGAAATCCCATCTCTCCAAGACAGATCTCTGGCTGCAGTTGATGCGCATAAAGCAGAGTTAGTGTGGCAGCCGTGGGGTGACCTGGAAACCAACAAAGTCACTCAAGAGAGTGGTAAGAATGTCGAAGGCTGGTACATAGGACTGAACGCCATAGCTGTAGAAGGGGTAACCACACATCTACCGTGGGCGTAATTTTAAATGTCTGTGCTGCCAGTCAAGTGACATGTTTGAGTGGTCTTGAAAGCAATCTTGGGAGCAAAACTTATTTAGTGGGTTGTAGCTGGGGTTGTTTGGGATTTTGTTTAGATTAAATTGGATCATTTGAGAGTGGTCAGGCAAAGAAGAGGCCTTGTGCTCAGTGAGGCTTTCTGGTCTCTAACTTTTAAATGCTACATGCAGTCAACCTAATCTCAAGGAGTGCTCTAGACATAAAAGCATTTTGGAAAAATCAAGTTGTAGATGGAAGTCAGGATGAAAAGGCAGGAGTTGTGGCAGCTAGTTGGCACAGTGAAGAGTTGTCCGCTGTTGGTGCACGCGGGCTGCAGCTTATACAAATCCTGTAAAGAACAGGAAAGGGACAGGCTTGGAAGAAATAGTTCTGATAAAAGAAAAAAGTGGATATTGTGAAATGGAAGTTTTTTTAAAGAACACAGATTAGTAAAGGGGGATTGCAGGAAAACTCTGAGGTGAAGGGAGATGGGAAGATATTAGAAGAAGGAGAAGAGTTTGCAAGAAACTCTGTGTGTGAACAGTGCAGCACACAGAGTAAATGCTGTGCAACCTTGCAGTCTAATGGGTTCTTGTGTCCAAGTTTGACCTAGATACACTTGCAAGGACACTCAACTTCTCTATGGGTTTTACCTTCTAGCTCTGCTTCAAAAGAGCTAATTAATGGTGTGACTCATGTAAGAACTACATTTTAATCTTCTTATCTGGCTTTGTTTGGTACATCTATGGAAACAGTGGAAAATCTGCTAGCCGCTGCATGTTCAAGCATTTTTCCTGGGGCTGGAACCAACCAGGAGCTGGCACTGCATTTCTTGCATGAAGCGAAGGGAAGCGTTCTGGTGAGTCTTCCTGGCTTTTCTCATGCTGTGGCAAAAGATTTTAATGATGGCCTGTCACTTCAGAAAAGGAAAGCCTTGCAAACTCTTTCCTGTGTATCCAGCTCCCACTGTTTCGTGTCCCTTGGTGACGTTACTGTCCCTAAAGTGGGCTCTACCAGAGGTACAATGCCATATTCACCTGCTGTCTCGCGTGTTTCAAACTTGGACGTGTTTGTTTTTTTAACAAACAGACTCTCAGTCTACCAGGGTAAGTGAGCTGAGACTGCTAAATGAGTCTTAATGCTGCCTTCCTGGGAAGGCAGGCCTTGTTGGAAGGAAAAACAAGAGCCTGGGGCTGAAGCAGAGGATTAGAAGTGCGGTGTTTTGTTCCTCTTACTTTGGGAAAATCCGTTTAACTTCTCAATGCACAGCTATAAAATGTCTGTACTTGTTAATTTTGTATCAGTATTGTAAGATATGAAATACTTTCATAGAAGCCCTTTGTCATCCCTGGGAGGTGATATCAAGGTGCAGAGCATAGTGTACAGCACAGGACCATCAGCTTTTTATAGTTCTGTGATTGATTTAACTTGGCATAAATGGTTGCTGTGATCAGAAGGAGCATCCCACCCTCTTGCCTAGTGCTTGTTTCCCATCCTCTATAGCGTGTCAGCACTGGTATTTGTGAGACTGTCAATCAACTGAAAATTAATTTTTTTTTTCTGGGTTAGTTTTTTTGCTAGGTAAGTTCCCAGAACCCTCTGTCGTGAATGCTATTGCTGGTGTTAGGGAGGAGCAGGGCTGCCTTTGCAGCAGGAGTTCATGGTTAAAGTGGTTTAAACTGCTACTGGAGCCATGACTCTGTTCTCTCCTTCCTCCTGACTTTGAAGTACTTGTAATTTAAATGTAAAGTAAAAAGCAGCCTGAGAGCTGCTTTTGTCTAGAATCTTTCACTGAAATGGCTGCTCTGTTTTGTTTTGAAATATTGTTTACTTAAGTGAGTTAAGATCACAGTGACTTAGGTGTTTTTAAAAGGCCATCATTTAGGGCAGGTTTCTGGATGTGCCGTATGTTATGTAGGCCTTCAGTAAATAAGAGGAGACTGCTGTATTATCTCTGTCTATGGGATTAGGTCTCTCCCTAATCACCATTGTGGTTGGGTGGGAAAGTGTTGATTCACAGAATCGTGAAGAGGTGCTGAGAGGTTGGCCACCTGCCAGCGGTACCCAAGACTCGGTGGAGAGTGAAGAATGTGATTTTAGAGTTGAGTCCTACTCCCTGTCCCAAATGCCAAGCTGTGCAGCAGGAAAGAGAGAAGAGCTCCTGTTCAATTAGATTACCTAATTGGAAAGGATTAGGAATTGCCTGATTGTTATTTTAAATACCTGAAAGAGTGACAGTCTTACATTAAGCTAATTATTTTATTTGTGTTTATCTTAGGGGGCTTTGACCAAACTGCTGTTGAAGAGGCCAGTACGATCACCTACCCACCCTCTGGCAGATTATCACTACACAGGTTTGCTAGCCAAATAAGTCTGTGCTGCCTGTTTATCACAAGGGAATTCTCCCATCCCATTCTCCCTTTTCTACTCTTTCGGGGAACTCTGTAATGTTACAATAAGAATAAAAGACTGCTCTTCTCTCTGGTAAATCAGACGATGGTTTGCCAGGAATTTTGCCTGTACAAAGCATGACACTTGTATTACCATGTGGAAACCACTGTAGGTGTCAGAATGCATGGAAGTGGGTATTTGCATATGTATGTCTCCTTTGTGGGGAAAAAGGAATCTGGCCCCTTATACTAAGCCACAGAGAATGTAGAAGGGTAGCTAATAGATAGAGGAGAGACTGTCGTTACATCCGAACTGCAGACTCCCTGGCATGGATTTCCAGGGTGGAACGAAAAGGGAAAGGTTTCAAGCTTGCCAAAGAAAGCTAGTACATGCAGAGCGCAGCCAACTGTCGACGCTTGTCATTGTTTCTGCAAAAGTTAAATGCTCTGAACTGCCTTTGTAGTGCTTGTACCTAATTAGGAAATAGCTGTATGACATTAACTTCAGTAATCTAGGAGTGACCCTAGGTACCTGAAAGACCCAATGCAAGAGGGTAGAGAGACGTCTAATAGCTCCTGCCACAAAGCATAGAAATTACGTTTCTTTGTTATTATAAGCTCCTACTATAATGCCTTTACTTGGGTAGTATCTATAAGGCAAGAGGAGATTCTGGAATGTGTTTGTTATTAGAGGCAGGGGTGCTAGGATACTAGAAGTACTTGAGATGTAATAAATCTTCAGGTACAGTTTGATATTACACCTAATCTGATGTAACAGTGGACTGCTACTGAAAGAGAAGATCTTGCTCTCCTGCCCGACCATATCCGTTGCATCAAATCTAAAGAGCAGGACACGAAAAAGTGTATTTGTTCAGCTTGCTGTTTTTCTGGAAGACCTCTTACTTCTTCTAATGGGCTGGCATTAGCAAGCTGAACTGAGTTACGGTGTGGTAATGAGAGTATTAAATCGAACACAAAGGAAGTGATGACAGGAGGGCTGCAGGGGAACAGCTGGGGAGGGGGTTAACAGCAGCTTGCAGTTAAGCTGGATTAGGTGTAATGGGAGACTGCACCGTTGTATATGCATGTAAGCATGCTGGTTTTATTTAGAGAGAACTCAAAGAAAAGTACATAGGAAAGTAAACATTTGAAATTGTAAGGACTTCAGCTTCAACTTTTTTGTCTGCAGGATCAGACAAGTGGAAAGTTGCTGAAAAAAAGCTTTTCAATAAAGGCATTGCAATCTACAAGAAAGATTTCTTCTTGGTCCAAAAGCTTGTAAGTTAATCTTTCATTTGTTATGATGGCAACTGTGACTTCTCATGCCTTTGTGCAGCTTTTAATACAGGGAGTTCAGTCTTGCTTTTTCTGAAACCTCACTGAGGTCGAATCCTACACTCAGTAGTTTTGAGAGAAACTTTATCATTCAGCACAGCATACAATCTCACTAGGGATAGCTAGGACAGTAGTATTTGTTTTGCTGTTGTTGTTTACTTAACCCTTGTACTTACTACATTACTTCCATTAGTCCACACAGTGCAGATGTCACTTCTACAGGGCATATTTATAGAGTGCTGGTAACGTTCCAGCTTAACAGACTGCTTAAACAGACTGCTTATAAAACTCAATAGAAATACATCCTTGCTACTGATGAAAAGGGGTAGAGCCTTGCTACTGATGAAAAGGGGTAGAGAAGGATATGTGAAGGATGCGTCCTTTAGTATCCTCGTTTACAGCTTTCTCTGAAGATGAAAGTAAAAATGATAACTTAAGTAATAGCTCACATCTGTTTTCATGAGCTATGGCACTTCTGGGAGGGAAATTGTTGGAGGAGTTAGAGCAGAGATCAGAAGTTGCTTACATGTTTCCTCTGAATAAATATTCAAAAGGCATTTAAGTTGTAAAAGCCCAGAAACTAAGAATATCCCCCAAACTTTCAAGATATCACTGAAGAAAATATATATGTAAGTCGTCATAGATCTGTACTGATAATTGTCTACCACCATATGTGTATGAAATGCATGTGTCCGAAATGGGAAAGCACTGCAAACCTTCCTTTCCATTTTTGGATTGGTATTCTGGTCTGGTCTTCTCTGAAGTGTTATTGGAAAATAAAGCTCTCCTATAAAACTGAAAAGCTGCTCTTGAGCTTGACAGGTCAGTTGGAACATTTCAGAAGCTAAGAGGTGCATTAATTTCACAAAGTGCCAGGTTCTGTCACCTTTACATTGACCAGTTTTTCTTTGAAAAGTAAGTCCTGCAGTACTCGAAGTGAATAACAGTGGCAGCAGGAGGTGGGCTATGGGATGAGGCCGACAGGAGACCATAACGTGGAGGAGGAGGCTTCTTTAGTGGCATAGGGACTGCTGGCAGGGGAGAGGAATGCAAGGTATATTTATTGCATCTCTAGTACATCACAGTGTATATGTGTTGCACCTTTAGTAAATAAATTATTTATAAGCCTTTATAAACGCATGTAATCTATTGGACTTCTGTGTTTTCTAAACGCCAGATAAAAACCAAGACAGTGGCTCAGTGTGTGGAATTCTACTACACGTATAAGAAACAAGTGAAAATTGGTCGGAATGGGACCTTAATTTTTGGGGACATTGATGTTACTAATGAGAAGTCTATGAAAGATGAAGCTGAAGTTGACATCAAGGTAATTTCCTAAAGTCCTCTCACCTCTCTTGGGTTAGAGTGCCAAGTCTGGCTTTGTTTGGTGTCTCATTTGCTGGTAAAATCGTCAGCAGAAACAATCTCCGTGGAGTAGTCCAACTCGCAAACTTGTGTCCTGTGTCTCATACTGACATTTATTTGCATACGAGAAAATTAACAATTCCTTTATCTTCTGGTGAAGAGTTCCCATAGGTTTGCACGTGTGCTTCCTCTCAGAAGGGACATTTACAGTGAAGAACAGGGGCATGTGGAGGAAGAGGAGGAGGAGGAAGAGGAGGAGGCAGAGGAGGGGTTGGATAACAGAAAGAAGAGTACAGTTCCCCTCAAAGATGCACAGACACTACCAGCTGGTGTAATAGTAAGTGTTGCATTGGGTACGTTGTGCTTTCCACACCACCTGCACTCTGCAGCTACTTTAGAAAATGTAGAGATTGTCAGATGTAAAAAGTTTTCACCTCTAACTTTTCCTGATGCATAGGACTGGGCTGGGTTAGCTTAGAGTATTATTAGCCACCAAACTGTGTGCTGTCCTGGGAGAACTGGGATGAGTAAGGGGAGGGAAACCCAATATAATTCTCTGTGGTTGGTGTGCAAGATGGGACCGTGATGAGAAGTGTCCAGAATATAACCTGATGAGTTCATCGTTAATAAAACCTTGGTTTGGAGTAGTTGGAGCGCAGGAGCTCAGTCGTTGTTTTACTTCCGATGGTGGTTTTCAGCTTCAGGTTTACCTTACCTTTCTTCCCTCTCACCCGCTTGCAAAGGCCAATGATGCCAATATAAGGAGTCAAGAGGCAGCTGTCACAGGCAGGATCGCAAGGAGGCCAAGGGAAACAGCAGTGAAGCCTCGAAAGCCTGTTAATGCTCCAGTGCAGAGGAGGAGGCGGAAACAGAAGATAAAATCAGATGCTCCCAGTAAAGCTCAGAACCCAGAAAACACGTTTCCATGTAAAAAATGTGGCAGGTAAGAGGAATTTAGCTTCCAGCAACAGTCACAGAATGGCAGTAGGGTATCTCCTGTGGAAGCCTATTCTCAAATGAGCTTTTCTTCTGCCTATTTAGGCAGGAGAGACTGTGAATATAATGACTTACTACCCTAGTAGTATATCTAGTACATGAAGATTAGGGAGTTTTATGTTTTGGGATTTTTTTGTGGGTTTTTTTTTTTTTCGGACTGTACTTGGACAATAACCCTCTGCAGGTTATGTTTCTTCATATGAAATGAGATGCCTCCTATATTTCAACTGTCTGTAGTATTTGGTGCTAAGTTGCACTTTCAAACAGCTGTTCTATTCCCCCCTCTGTAATATTTGCATTTCTGTAGTGAGTAATTTCTATATATTTGCTAATCACATATTAGGAATTTTACTCATGAGCAATGCTATAGAAATACAGGCCGTTATCATTGTTACAGCAGCAGATGTTAGGCTAGTGAGTACACCGCATCTGGTTAAACTCGCACCAGTCTTCCGTGCCTTTAAAATATATTTTACTTTCCTCACATGACTATAGTGGTTTTTGTCGGTTTGTTGCCAATAGATTCATAAATGCCAACAAAGTTCAGTTCCCTACATAAATTACTCCCAAAACAATAGAGAGTCTTGTTAATACCAGAGGTTATCCCTTTATTTAAAAAAGGCATCAAGCTAGGGGATGGCAAGAAAATGAGGTCTGTGTCCAGTTAAATCAGCAGGCTTGTTGACAGACTCCTGCTGTGGCTGGAACTTAGCTGGCCCTGGCAAGGCAGGCTGTCCCTGTGCCCTCGGGGAGCACGTGGCATTGCAAAGGGCAGTGCTATGAGAATTCACACAGTTCTGTTTCAGTCTTGGCCACTGATAGAGGAGAAGCAGGAAAGGATTTTTAATGGTGTCTAAATTTGTCTCATGACATTTGATGCCAAATCAAAATAGTTAATGGTGAGAGGTGAAGGAACAGAGAATGGAAGTGCAAAGTTAGGAGGAACAAGCTCAAGTGTTCCCAACTGTGTGGACAAGAGTCAAGGGTGTGCATTGGCCGTTGTTTGCCTGTCTATTGTATTTTTGCAACAAAGGGGAAGTGACAAAAAATTGGGGCCCTGTTGTACTTAAGCACCATGTGCCTATATCAGATACCACCAGCACTTCCCTCCTGAATTTAGAAAATTTAAGAGCTGAATGAAACATAGAGGAAGTAGCTGTATTAAGAAATGAAGCAAGTGCTTTGAGGGCATTTCGGGCTCTCCTGCTAGCACTTGGCCTAGTGCACTGGTGCGCGCCAAGTCGAAAGCAGTGTTTGCTGTGTTTAAGCATCAAACTTTCGTGTTTAAGATGCTCCGTTACGATGCCATGCTGAACTCACAGGCTTGAGCCTGGAGCCACAGAAGCTCCTTGGGGGAGCTGGCGCAGGAATCTGTAACGGGCAAGCGCTAACGTACGAGCGTGCTTCTTCCTCAGGGTGTTCTACAAGGTGAAGAGCCGCAGCGCTCACATGAAGAGCCACGCGGAGCAGGAGAAGAAGGCAGCCGCGCTGAAGCAGCAAGAGAGAGAGGCAGCAGCAGTGGCAGCGGCAGCAGCAGCCCACAGCCAGGCCCAGCAGGAGGAGAGCAGCGAGAGTGGGAGCAGCAGCAGCGGAAGCAGCGGAGGGAGCTCAGATGAGGATGGAGAAATATAGTAGCAGGCCAGAAGTGGAGGGAATACCAAGGCTGGACCTAACCTCCCTCTTGGTTTTGCTTTCTTGCTTGCACTTTTTCTTACCTGAGCTGATTTACAGCAGGTCTCAGTTTCAGTGCTGCCATTGCCTCATGCCACATGTTCCACTTCACCTTGCCAGTACTGACCAAGCCAGAACAGTGGAAGAAAAGATTTGTTTCAACTTGGATTTTTTTTAATTATTTTTAACAAATAAGATTTCTATTTTATTTATAATAATATCTGAGGTACATAACAGAACAATGTCACCTGCAGTGGAAGTAAGTTCTCTCAGGTCAGCCAGACCTTTCTTCTTGTCAGGAGACATGGTAACAGGACTCTTGGATATAAAGGTTTCCAGACCTAAGCAAGAAAAAGATGCTCTGCTCTGAGCTAACTGTATCCAGTTACTGTGACACTGGTGATTTCTAGATATTTCCTTTCTCAGCAAGTTCCCCTTCTTGTTATACACTTTTCTGCCTTTTTTTCTGAGAGTTTGTGGGCTGCCAACAAGTTTTGTGGAAAGATTATATGCACTTCCAGCCTCTGCTTGACAAAAATGAAAAGTGGGATGAGCAAGACACTCTTCTTCCTTTTTGAGATGAAGTTTTATTTTTCTGAGGGACGCCTGAGGTGGTTTTCTTTCATGCCATCAAGAACAAAGAAATAGATATAAAATATCCTGTGGGATTAGAGTAGCCACAGACCATGTGCAGGTTGTGTCTCATCATGGAAAACAAAATAGTTGGCCTTTGATTAACTTCTTGGAAAGTAGTCTGGGCTTCACAAGTGCAATTTGAAATGAAAACTGGTGGCTTTGACTTTGCATAAAGAGGAGCGAGTTTGTTAGTGAAAATGTCCCAAGACCTTGTGTGTCTGCTGCACTGTGCGCCTCGGAGATGGGAAGACTCTCATGTCTGTCAGGCTCCTTAAATCCCTCCAGGAATGGCTCTTACCTCTCAACACACACGTTTCTTTCTCCTAGTAGCCCTCACTTGCTTCTTGAAACGGCCGTCATCAAGAGCTTGTACTGGTGGGGCCCTGGGTTTCCAAACACTTCCTGACAGGCAGCGTATGGCTGTATGTACAGGAGGAGCTTTCTTTTATATCCGCACAAGTGACTGGACAGCCCTGCCTGCTGGGGTGTCCTGCTGCGACCACTCTGCTGGCTGAAATGCCGCCTTTTCCTTCAGAACTGACGCAAGCTAACAGCCAAAAAAGCCTAGCCACCAAAAGCCTGCTGATGAAAGAGACTTAAGAGGAAGCTAAAGTGGTCCAGGTGACATACATGTTAGAATTGCACAGGATTATCACTATTTCATGAAGAAGTAAAGAATCACATAATTTCCTTGTGCTTCGCAGCCGGTCAGTCACAGCCCAGTGCTCTGGCTACCCAGCTCCCTCCCTCCCTCCCTGCAGGCCAGTGCTCCGTGCTGCCTGCGTTCCCAGTTTCTGGGGTGCCAGCAGCGTGTCAGACCACGCGCGTGGCTCCAAGGGGCAGTCCTGCAGGAGCTGGCCGCTGTCTTCCTGAGCAGGGCTCCCGGGTGGGTGAACGACGTGAGCGTTCCCAGCTGGCTGGTTTCTAAATCCTGACCCTTCTAGCTGCTAGATAAAATTCCAGGTAATAAATACTTGTCAAGTTACTATGGAAGGTGGATCTAACGCCAGCATGCCATCTGCCCCTCTTCTCCCGCCCCAGGTAGTTTTATGCAACCAGGATTGTTTCGCTATGAAAGTCTGGAAGGCTGTGTGTTCTGTCATGTTTTCTTTAAAAGACAGGCTGTTGCATAGACTCCTTTTTCTTTAACAGCAGAAACAATAATTACTCTTACAATAAGTAGGAGTATTAATTAGTGAGGGCTGCACTTTTCTTTTTCAATGTTAACATTTTTGCCTGTACACGTTCTATTTTCTGCCAATGCTATATTTCTCATTCCTAACAAAATTAGGTTTATATCAATTCAGAGATCAAACGACCAAATTACAATCAAGACCCTTCTGTACAATTATCTAAAGCTTCATCCCTTTCAGCACCTGGACAACTGTTTCCGTGACCCTACACAAACTGGGATCTTGTTGACCAGACTCTGGAAGCAGATGGCACATCACTAGCTGTTAAAATCCATTAGAAAACTGTAAAGAGCTAAAAGGTACTAATCTTTAAACAGAAGCTTAAGCAAATCAGTCTTCCTATTAGCATTTCTGCATTTGTAAATTGAAGAAAATGCTTGTCTACCTTTATCCCCGTTCCCTTACAGAGAACAGAAGCTTTAGCACACAGTGCCTGGATGACCAGTAGGTGAAGCAGCTGGGCCTGGTGGTCCACTTGTAGTACCAGGGTTAATTCCAGTAAAAACCAATGATGCAATTAAATTTTAAGATCTCAGGTATGTTTCTGGGAAGTTGCCAAAAGCTGCCCAATCTTGAGAACTGCAGGGTAGTGGGACATGTGAGTATATTAAAAAAAGAAAAAGGCTTTGACAATAATGTAGATGTTATAGTGTTGTAGTGAGTATGTAGCCCTAGAGTACAATGTTTCAGCTGTAGAATGGTGTACGGTTATTTAGCGGAGACCGTAAAGGCCTAGAAACACACGTCAAAGAAACGGAGATACAGCTGCACGGGCACAAGTTGAGAAACATGGCAAACGTGAAGATTTTTTAGGTTGGAAAAGAGATCTTGAGACTTGACTAAGCTTGAGAACTACAATAAGGTTAATCAAACTGTCTAAGGAAAATGCTTTCACTGTCATTGTTCACACAGGACAAAAGCAGCTAATGTGTAATCCTTTAGAAAAAACCAGATTGTCCAAACTGGGTCAAGCCAAAGATCTGTCTAGCTCCGTGTCCTGTTTTTGACAGTGATCAGGAGCAGATGCTTAGGAAAAAAGTATATGAACAGGGAAAGCAGGGAATGTCTTGGTAGAAAACAAGATGCTAAACTGGAAGGATTTACTTGTGTTCTCCAGTAAGGCAAAGCTGCAGATAGATTTGTCCTTAAACGTCCAGTCTCCGTATGGGCAGAAAATGAGCACATTTCTTTGTCTTCTACTTTTTGCTCTGTGTATCGCATCACTTGCATTTACTCTAGTATTTTTAGTGTCCCAGAGTGTGCCTGGCTGATAATGAGCAAAAAACATTTAGTCATGGCCCTCAGGAATTTGCAAGGTTGCAGTAGTTTTAGATGTGACATAGCAAATTATGGTGGACAAACAATTGATGAGGTAAAATGAAGTGCGAAGATTTAAGGAGCAAATTATGTGATTGCTTTAAGTACCAGTTTAGTTGTCTTTTAGGCTTAATAATGCTTTAGAGTAGGCATTATTATAGTCTTCCTAAAGACCAGATCTTTCGCTGATGTTCCCTATTTTCAGGAAATAGATAGAAGGGTCATTTTTCTCTTTATCAAGGATAAGCCATGGAGGTGCTGATAAGAACAAATCACAGGGTTTTTTTAATTGCACAAAAAGATGCGTGTATTACACACTGAGGAATCCAGTACTGATTGCTTCTCTCCCACCCCACTGCAGTAGAAGCTGAAGAGGACAGGAGGATTTGATGCACTGAGGGCTGCTGCTGAAAGACAATCAGGACAGGGCTTTTTCTGTGGGTGTCCTCTAACTGTGGGTTGGCACGGCTCACCCACATCAGGTTGAGAATTCCAAGTGGCATTAAATGCTTAATCTGGAAGTGCTTCTGAGCATGTTTACATGCCGCTAGCAGCTACTGGAAGACCTTTTCTCTGTGGTGGTAATTGGTAGTAAGTTTAAAACAAAAAACCTCTTGAGTTTCTTGTTTAATAATAACGAAAAAAGACAACCCCCAAAACCAACAAACTAACTTGCTGCATGCTTGCTTACAGTAGCAGTTTGGAACTGATCCTATGCCCAAGTTAGATCCTGCCCACTATCAACAGTTGGCAGAGGTGTGTTTTGTTTTTAAACACTGTGGACAAAGTATTTGAATTGAATTTGTCTGATCTGGAATGAATTCTGGTACATTTCTTAGTGGGGAAAATACGTGAGCGGTTCTATATCACAGCGCAGTGTTAAGTTGAGACTGTGTTGTTCCAATTATGATTAAAAAACATGACTCTACTGTTCTGTTGCTTTGCTCGTTTTAAAGTCCTTTGCTCATTATTTTCCAACATTTAAAAGCACATTTGCCCATCTTCATTTAGTATAAGGGTTTGCTACGTGTTCAGAAGAAGGCACTGTACCCTTCCTCATTAAGCTGAGTTTGAACAAGGCTTCTTTTTGCTTCAGCTGTCTTTTCTATGGAAACACAATAGAAGACTCATAGACTGCAATTCTGTAAATATGTATTAATAGATCTGTCTTTTATGATGAGAGATCAGGCTTCAGATGGACATAAACCTAGTAGTCAGGTGGCTGTATTTCAAAACCATTTTGTATTTGAGTCTTGAGGCAGGCTCAGGAGATGGGCTTATGGTCAAACTGTATTTTGCCCTGATTGTGTATTTCTGCCTATGCTGCCTACCCTTCAGAGCTGAGCTATCACTGTTCAACCTCTCGGGTTTCTAATTTGCATGGGAAAGCATCTCAGTTTTGCACGACTGTGTGTATATAATTGCTAGTTGTATGCATGCACTTGTGATGCAAATCTGATGTAGCTGCAGGTGTTTAGCTGTCTAGCTGCAAGAACTCTGCATTTTAATTTATTCAGCATTGTTCCATTTAAAGTCATGGGTGGTTTTGCTTAACAGGTAACACTAATCTGAGAGAACTTAGTTAAGTTTAAAGCCTACAGAATTTCAACTGGCTATGCAGGACCTTGACATTTTAATACCTAGGAATATAGCTGTTTGAAGGCAGGGCAAGGCTAGAAATCCTGAAGCTTACAAGTAAATTGTCTATTAATCCCATACTAGTGATGTAATGTGAGGTTTAAATTAGCTAACCAGGCATCTGACTTACCAAATTGAAGTTTAAGGTTGTTTTTTCTTATGATTGCAGTAAGCTTAGATTAAAATCAACATCCAAAAACAGTGTTTCCTAAACCACAAAGACTGAGCTTTCTCACTGCCTCAGCTGTTTTATCTTAATTCTCTTTTGGGCAGCGGACTAGGAAGACACAGTATAGAAGTACCCTGTTGTGAAACAAATGTGAGCGGGGAGGATGGCGTAGCCGTCAGTCTTGTCTCCTTTCAGTGTCTGTGCCTCACTAGGAGAGCCTCCTACAGAGGCACTTTGAGTCTAGCGATTACCTCTGCCAGAAACCTCTTAATAAACCACATTTTCCCATGCAGACTTTCTCCCTGTTTCATCTTCTAATGTATGTCTGAACATTTAGGAAGTTTTAAAGAGATAGAGCAGCAGGGTCTAAGAACGATGCTTGATTTTTGTGAGGGTGCGTTTCAGCTGCTTTACTCGCCCACGTTCTCTCCTATGTCAAATGTTAGGAAGACACAAACTTTGAATCCCCGGCTGTCTGAATGTTTCCTTTCCGAAACTTGGATTCCATGGGCAGCTGAGCCTGTAAGATCCTTAACTTCTCAAGATTAGAGGACAACATATATTTTTATAGAAATGTAATTGTATATTTTAAAAACCTGCTTCCTGCAGCTTCTCCGCATTTATTTTTTCCCCTTATAGTTCAGATTTGATATAAACTTTTTTTTTTTGGTGTTCATTCTTTTTATGTTCTGTTTTAAAATTTGTAGTCAAAGCTCTAGTGTACTGTGCAGGAGCAGTCAGCCTTTGTAATTACTGTATAAATGCTTTATTATAAAGTATATTACTTTTATTTTAACAAGTGAGCAGACACTTCCTTTTGTGTGTTTGCTGCCTAGGGCACCTTTTAAATGACTGTTACATATTAAAAATGTACATATATAAATATAAAAATATTTACCTGTTGCTGTACAGTTGTGATAGACTGGACTGAATTTATTTTTTGTGTGCTTTTTTATAAAATATTAATACACTAAAGGAAATCTCGCTGATGTGATTGTAATGTACTATGTAACTTATTTACTTAATATCCTCTATATCTCTTTAAAAAACCTTTTATTAAATGAGGTTTAAAAAGTAGTTTCATAGCTGACATTTTTTGTTGGTATGAGTGAGTGGCTGGGGTTTTCAGGGTGGATACTGACTGCCATTCATTCATACAGAGGAAGCAACTGTGAGCTCTGTTATGAGTCCTGTTAGCTATCCTGCTCTCTGATCATATTCACTTGTATCCTCAAGGCTGTTTCTCAGTGTAAACTTTCCTCAGAATACCCTCGCCTGTGATGTGTTTTGTGTCCTATATCCAGGAAAATAGCTGGTAGATGCAGATCCATTTGCTTTACAGCAGTGTTGGTGGTGCTTGTTCCACTCCAAGCCGTGCACCCTCGCAGACCGCCGCCACTGACAATCGCAAGTGTGTTACACGGCTGGCTTACTACGGCCTTTTGCTCTTGCACGCAGGACCGTTCTGAAAAACCTGAAACTCATTTCCAGCTGAATTCCAAAGTTTAGAAATCCACAAAAAGCAGGTCTAGTTCATTGCAACACCAGCCGAAAGAGCCACAAAGGGGCTGTATCAAAGCTGAATTCCTGGATGGCTGCGCGTGGGGCAGAAAGCAGAGACGGAGGTAAATCTACAACTGCTAGAAAGAAGTTGTTAATATTTTCCTACTGTGTAGTAGATCAGTCTGTGGGATGTAGAAACCATGATTCCAGTAAATCATATTGCATCATATTTTTCATTAGTAGAATTACTTTTTTTTTTAGTTTGCATTGTAATATTGTCTTCACTTGCTTGTTACCTGAAACTAAGATTTTTTTATATAGATATTTTTTCATATGGCATTAATCTTGTTTCCTCTGGCAGAAGCTGGACCTCTTGCTGTGGTTTCTAATAAATATTGATATAGCCCCCTGCCCAACTTCAAAACAAAGGTTCCTTCTGTTTTGCTCGTGAACTGTTTGTAGGGTGCCTGCTGGTCCCCACAGCTGCGAGCCTGGAGTCTCTCTGCAAGCCGCAAATGTTTCACTAAATGAAGCAGGTTTTTAGAAACGTGCACCAGTCTGGCCTCAGACTAGCTTTCAATTAAAATCTCAGACGGCATACGTCAAAGTTAAAGTAACAATTCTTGTCATCTTATGCTGACAGTTAAGTTTCCATCCCAGTAGGGCTAGCAGTGCTGATTGATGGGATTTAGCCCAAGACATTAAAACGCTTTGTTCAGCTCAGTTTAAGCACCTTTGCGCCAATCTACTCCTGCGGATGTGGCTGTTAAGCAGCAATGCCATTGGGGGAAGTAAGTGGTATTTTGCTCAGCGGGCAAAATAGGGAACACAAAAGCCTTCACACACGCTGGCAGACCACAGTTCCTGACAGGCTTTAACTAAGGTGTTTGTCTTACTGGCAAAGCAAACTGTTAGAAGTGTCAGTGTGCGGCTGGAAAGGTTGACTACTTTGTCTTAAAACAGCAAAGGCATCCAAGCCAAATGGACAACCAACAAGTTTAAAAGTGTTCTGGGGTCATTTTTTTTTTGTTTGTTTGGATGTGTTTTTTTTTTTTTTTAAGTGTTTCTAAGCCAAGTTTCCAGAGCTTATTTCACTTACTGAAAGGCAAAGCATTTTAGTCATTCGTAACCTTAAATGGCTTTTGAGGTTAGTGGTGGTGTGAGGAATGCTGCAGTAATTCCCTCTATGTTTTTTTTAAACAGCATTACACCTGTAATTGCATGATGCTGCTCCTGTCTTCACTGACAAGGATTGCTGTGAGCTGCAGGGTAGAAAGCTGTTTCTAGCTGTCACATTACAGTGATAGTGTCTGTTGAAGGCTAAAGTTTTTATTACAGAAGTTTATTAAGCAGCAACCGTCTCCTGTCCTGAGAAATTGGTTGCAGGTTGCTATTAAAAGAATTTAACTTCAAAGTGAATTAGTAATTTTGTACTAAAATAAAACCAACCCTTTGTTTATCATATTTGTTTGCTTGTTTTTCCCCTATATGAAAGTAAGATTTGTCTCTTAGGCTGCAGGAACAAAGTCTAACAAGCAATGTCTGTCTTTCTTAAAATATTGAAAAATATTTATGTATCAGATGACAACAATCACAATATATCAACATTTTTTTAAAGCCTAAGTTATTTCCTATCCTAAAATACAGAGGCAAAAAGGAACAGAATTTATGTACTATGAATACATTGCTCCCTGAGCAGCTAGGAAAGTTTAATGAGAACAAAATTTAATTTCTGAAAGCTGTCCACAAGCTGAACTATTTTGTTACACAAGAGCCAAAAATTTTTATGTAAAATAACATTGTATTATTTTAAAATACTTTTCACTGAATAACATTTGTAAACATAGGGCTAAATTTAAACACAGCAAATTTAACAATTTGGTAATGCTACAAAAAAAAAAAAAAAAATCACTGTATATAAAAGATAACCAAGCAGCTGTTAAAAGTGCTCTCTTGCTTGAAGATGCTTCTAGATGAGGCTACTTCTCGTGTGACCTGAGTGATACACGACCAGACAGAACTGCTGCATCTCAGGTCCCTTCTCACGTTTTCCCAGCAGGTCTCAATATAATCACTGCATGCACTGGCTCTTTTAAGACAGGTCAATGTGCTAGCAAGCAAGTAAAATACCTCTTTCCTATTGCTAAATTTATTTTAGAAAATTCTTCTAAGGAAATAAAGTGGATGCTAATCCACCATAATTCTAGTGGGAAAAGCAGTATTCCACATGGCTTGCAAGTTTTACATGGGTGTTCTTTTCATCCATGACTAATATGTGCTTACTATCTCCATGGCTGTGGTGAGATATCGGCGAGCAGCGTACTACAGAAAGACCGTTCTTTTGCCCCATGAGTCAGCCTCCAATCTTATCTGTTAGCTTACAAATGACATGGTGTAACACCATCGATACGCACATTAGCTGCTTTATTGCCATATCTGTGTATATCTTCCACCACATCCACTGCATAATTTTAAAGTGCAAATCTTAAAATGTATGAAAAATTTCACTGATTTTTTTTTTTTGGAAGAGGAAAAAGTTCAGGGGTTTTGATTTGTTCATGAAAGGACTCATGATTCACCAGGCAAAGCAAAATTAAGCTGAAATTTCCACCCAGCTCTAAGCTGAAGAGCCTCTGACAGCTATTTGAACTCCATGGTTTATTTTTTTCTTACCCTATTCTTTCAGTTGAGACTGACAGTTTTTATCAGAAGGGTTTAAGTTATATGCTGGAAGTTATCACTGCATGAAGGGCAAAAGGGAACAGGAAATCCTGTACTGCAAAACTGTACCTTATTGCTGTTATAACTGGCTGCCCCATTCCTTCAGCTGTGAATTTTTGTGGTATTTATACGGCAGCTCTGAAGAAGAGCTAGAGAATTTGTTTATACGGCAGCTCTGAAGAAGAGCTAGAGAATTTGTGCTGTTAATTTGCGAAAAGAGCTGATGACAGTGGGCCACAGAATGAACACAGCTTTAGATTAACAATTGGCAAAGTTCTTGGAATAATTACCATACGTATAGGCTGCATTTGTCACGTACAAGAGCCAGGAACCGTACTTTTGTTATCCTTCGTGTCTCAACAGTGGAGCCATGGTTTGTTCAAAGTATCTCCACATAGTCCCAGCTTCATATTCTGTTCTCAGAATGTCACAAAATAGCCAAAACAGAGTACTTGCTGTATCTAACTCCGCCTTCATAAATGTACAGTACTTAGACCCTATTTAGATATTAAAACTCCACCAGTAGGATTATACATGGCATTGGACTGCACGCTCAGATCCACTTCCCTGTCTTATTTTCATTCGAGGAGCTAACTTAGCTATATGTACCATAACTGTAGAAATCTTGCTATGAGAAAACAGCTACTTTGCTTATGGTCATGCTCCAGGACAAGAGCACTGAATACTCGATTCTGACCTCTTCTCCCAACAGCATATATGAACTTGGCATTTCCATTTGCTGGCAACAGTCAGAGGTCAAGTTTTGTTCCACTCAAGTTCTAGCTCACGTTAAAGACACTTTAATTACAGTAGTCAGGAGCACAAGCCAATTCCCCATTGCTCTAACACAGAAGACAGTGTCAGTAGAGGCTGACTTTGTCATAAGCATTGCATTATTCACGTTTCTGAAGCACATCCACTTTTCCAAAAGTGGCTGGCTGCAAGTCAACAGAATGGATTAGTTTTGAAAGAAGCCAATGTGACGTGGCTGTTGACTAGCTATTTACCCTGTTTCCCATCATGCTTCTTGGTCAATGGGGACTTTACTAGTGATAAAGCCAGGAGAATAATCCTAAAAAGAAACTATATATGAATAAAATTGTCCATTAAGATAAATCCAGTGAGCTAACTAACTAAGAAACAGACAGCTTTCTGGTCAGGATAAACAGCTGTCTGGAAGTAGCTTGTTCAGAATATCTAAAGCTTTTGCCACTGCTCTTCTGACATTATGTCACAAAATGGACCTAAATCAAACTTAAGTCTTAAGTTTACCTGCAATCGCCAATTTCTGTTAGCATGCCTAAGAAGTGTTCTAACAATGAAAAGAATAACTAGAAAATACATTGAAATGGAACTATAATCTGCTTGTAACCTTTTACTGTTCACTTAGAAATTAATCAGAGCTAGAATTATCATCTATTAAAACTAGACCTGGAGCTTTAATATTCCTGCCCATCACAAAAAAAAAAAAAAAAAAAAAAAAAAAAAAAAAATGAAAGAGCTGAATACTGCTGTTGCCTGGGCCAACTTAACCTTTCGCTTCTCTGATAATGACTTCCACAATCTTGACCTCTGCTACACCTCCACAAACAAAATAATTAAAAGTCAATTCCTGCCTCCATCCCTTCTACAACAGGTCTGGAACTAGCAAATACGCTCGTTGCCATTATAATTTAAACAAAGATGGTACCAAGAATAAGAAGAAAAGCTTAAAAGAAAACAAGCTGCAGAAAAAAAATCTATGCAGATCACTCTATCTATTCTCTAAAGAGAGGAGGAAGAAAGTCATTACTGGCCCCCAATAGTGCAATCAGATATATGTCTTCATTAGTACTTGATGCTTTTCACTACAAAACAGTTACCTGTCACATATGGGGGCTTTCCAAAACTGTTTTCCTTGCAATTTAACACATTTAGCACTTCTTCAGTATTTATATTCCAGTGCCTACTTCCCATCTCATCTCACCTTCCTCACTAACTACATAAACCTTTCACATACTGCTTACATCTGTGCTTTAGAAAAAAAAAGCAAGTATCCTCACAACCAACTTTTATATCCTCAAGCCCAGCTCTTTTGTTCATTGTTTGTTTCTGATTATTAGTCTACTTGGTTATATGAAAATTCCAGAGCTGAGAAGGATTGTGTCCCTCGATCAGCCAAGAAGAGACTAGGAACCAGCTGCAGGCTAATAGTCTACCTATTCCAATCTAAAATGGTGTCTTATAAGAGACAAAGAAAAAAAAAAAACAGATATTTTAGTCTCACCTGAAACCATGTAAAAAGTTGCCATTGCTTCTTTAAAATAAATAAATATGTAAGAAGTTATACATGGCCTTCTAAGCAATGAAGTTAAGAGTTCAATGCAAGAAAGCCAATTCAAGGCTTAAGGCCAGAAATAAGATCATCAGATCGATACCTTTTTTTGTGCATAAGTCCACAACTACTGGGCCTATTTGGCATAAGAGTTAAGGAGCAGAAAAGGCAAACTCACGTACTGAAAATATTAAGGGATTCCCATGACAAAATTAAACAGAACAAAGCCTGTAAAGTCTCTCTAAAACACAACACTGATCTTTTGGCCTCAGTGTTTCAAATGATAATGTTGGCCAGCTGCACTTAACAAGCTAAAATTGTTCTATTGTAACCCAAGAGAACAACAAGCATCACTTACTTAATCAGGGACTTAAAATAGCTATGTATTATTTTAGGTAAAGATCTCGTGTTAGTTAAATAGCAGATGAACTCACCTCCACTGGTCTCTTCAGAAGGTGACATGAGATTGACAAATTGGCGTGCCCAGATTTTGGAAAACAATTCTTTGGGTGAGAGACTGTGGAGATAAGCTCGTCTTTTAAAAGTTGCCCGAAGATTTTCTTCAAAACAAACATTTATATAAAAGTTCTATGTACTGTGCTATTCTGGAGATACTTAAATAATTAAATACCCAACAAGAAAGCTTTATCAGTTTCCTCCTTCTTCATCATCTTCTTGTTTAATAACTAGGATACCTAAAAGAAAAAGAGAGAAAGAGAACAAAGCTGCAAGGATTTACAAATAAATTACGCAGAGAAAGGTATAGTTGATGCTGATATACCTGAAAGCTTATCTGGACTGTCAGAAAGAGGAAAGAGTTGCACAATTATTTGCTGCCACTGCTTCTAACTGTAGACACCAACTTCCTACATTACTGAATCTCTCTTAACTAGAAGAGGCTTCAACTGATGAGATCTTCTCTTGGATGCTTTTCCAACTTCTTTAGTAGCAAAAAAATATTAAAGGTAAAAACGTATTAAAGCATGACCCACAAAGATCAGCCTAAATCAGTCACTGGAAGACGCACTGTGATGTTTCAACTGCTAGCATCTAACTAGTGCCCAATCTTTCTCTTGGAGGGCCCTACTTTATACTTCCATTTCCATGACATACAGTACAGGCTACATCCTCAAAGATACCGAACTAGGATGTCTATTCTACAAAATATAGTGCCAAAGAGTGAATTCTGAGTGGGGATCCAAGAAGCAATATGGCCACATCTTTTTAGAGCTAACCTGGGTGTCATGGACTAAAGCTGCATTGCACAGTATGAACATACCCTATACGAGGTATGAATGCAACACACTGCAGGGGCACCTCAGATTCTGACAGACTGCAAGGCTGATGATACCACCTCACAGTGATGTGTTCATGAACTTAAAATAAGCTGAAATGCTAACAGTCCCCAAAAGATTTATCCAATTAGACATTTTTCCCATGCTAGCAAAACACAGTAGTATAGGTTAGCTCACAGCACACTGAAGTAGTGCAATAAAGTACATGGCTAAATAAACAGTACAAAAATAGCAGGGGTGTGGAGGTATATGTCCATCCACCTGTGCTGGTGACTACAACATTCACCTGGCAAATGAGAACTGTAGGTTCATACTCATGATTTGATCAGCTTGAAGCAGAAACTTGAACTCTGGTGAGGCTCTGAGGTGAGAGCTCTTTGCTTACTGCAAGATTGGGGGGGGCTGCGTCTCTGTTTTTTCACAGATAGGAAACTGCATGAAATGAAATGAAAACAAAGCAGCCTGATTTCGGTCATGGTCAGGCACCTAACTTCTGAGAAGGGATCTTGGCACAGGAACCAAGAGAAAGAAGACACCTGCCCAAAGTTACTATTAGTGCTTATTTTCATCCAGAACATCTTCAACCATTTCACTCGTTTTTCAGATCCTTATATTAGTCATCTCGCATATACTGTATAAGCATAGCAGGACACTGCAGCCACAAGAAATTTTGTCCTCCTACAGCATTTCTGAGCTTTACTTTTACTCCACATTATATATTTTGTGGTTTCCATTCTTAAATATCTTCCTCTCTCTCTACGTTACATAGGAAATACGCATACCTAATTCGGAGCTGTCCATTGCTCCAGGCTGCAAGAATGCTTAAGAAACTAAGGATGTAGCCCTGTACTAACAGGGTTACCCTTTTCCCATACAAATACTTGCCTTACTCCAGTTTTTCTATTCACATAACATTTTCTATTACAGCAGCGAATGGACTATTGCAGACCATTCTTCACAGCAGCACAGCCCTCTCACCAGCCTTCAGCTTCTCCATAATTCGTATCACTTCAGTTGATCTGGCTTTGATTTCCCACCCATTGCTCACTGTATTGATGCTGTCCTCTTGCAGCTCCCTATATGCCCATATCTTCCCTGCTGCTACTCTGACTTTTCATGAATGTTACCAGTCCTGTTCTTCTCTTCACTGCTTTAGTAAACAGGGGACAGTGAACAGTTAATATCTCCATTAGCAGAAAATAACATATTTAAAAATAGCTTTAAAATTGTCTTACTTTTACTCGCTAATCAGGGCATGCTTTAATATATTTTCATATGAGCCACTAAAAAAGAAAGCAGCAGAGGAGAGCTCATAAATTGAGGCTTACTGCAGTGAAGAGAGGGGCATATTCAGGCATTTGGGAAACTTGCGTGAAGTTCTGAAAACTTGCCCTTGCACTAGAAGCAAAACAGAGAACATATACCTATACATCCCCTTTCCCTCACGTCACCATCTTTTTTGGGGAGAATTGTAACTCGATTTTGTTGTGAAAACTATAATTCCACTTGGTAGAAGAAAGCCTTGTTAACTCATTTAATGCTAAATATGTAAGTATATAATTACACAAATCAATGCGTGAACTCCACAAGAGAACTTCAAACCAGTATTAAAAATAAGCATATATATGTTTCAGTTCCTTATTAGTTAGGTGCTAGAAGTATTTGACTGGATAACTTCCAGAATCAAGTCCAGCTGCAAGGCCCTATAGATGTAACACTCTGAAATCCATCAGACACTTTCAGAAGATCCTGAGACCAGGGCTGCAAAATTCAGCGGTCAGAAGCTAGCCTACTTCTGAATAATAACTCCAGTGAGAGGAAGGAGAAGAGGAGTATTACATGGTCACACGTGTATTTCTGAGGCTGTGCGTTATTGCACTCTGGTCTTTTTTATACTAAGTTATTAACTTACACCAATTGCCTCATGCCCCAAACTCACCATCTAATTTTTTCAGCTTGGGCACCCGTTTGGTTGCTTCTTCAATCCAGCTGTTCTGATCAGAGGCGTATTTCTCGTGTAGTGGATTGCCTACAAACACCAGATCCTCTAGTAATGGCAACTCTGACAGTCTCACAAACTCTGCTGCAACCACAAACGTGAAAACACCAACCAGATTGTGGAATATGGAAAGTACATCTGCACCAAATCTTCCTTTCAAAGTCAATACAAGCACAAATAGCATGGGATATAAGAGGATGGGGACTGTTTGGATGAAAACTGGTATCAAGTTAAAGAACAGGCATGCATTTTAAAACAGGTCAGAGAAAGATGGTTCAAAGGACAACAACATCCATTGGTCTTAGAAATTAAATTCAAAATTTGAACTATTTTCTAACTATTTTTGATCTCTTGCATGAGCAGATATTTAAGGATTCTGTGCATCTCTGCAGGGTTATCAGTAAAACTTAGCCCCTAGAACAAGCAGAACTATTTTCTACTTGCTGACTTAATCTATGCATTCCCCATAAGAATGTAAGAAGTTACAGAACAAACAGGCCTGGCTTACCCCAGTCCTTCACCAAATTATTTGACATATAGAGAACCTTCAGCTTCTTCATTACACGGATCCCCCTCAGCTTCTCAATGAAGTTGTATGAGATCCACAGCTCCTCTAAAGTATCCGCAACTGCCTCCTGGAAAATGACAGGACTGCTCAGATAAGTGGAGGTAAGTCCACCTTATTCTTCAGCTTCTCTCTTCTTCACACTCTTTAGGTCATCTCATGTAATAAAATACTAATGTATATTGGTCCTCATATCCTTTTAAGCAGGTCCCTAATTATGCATGACAAAAACCCACGGGGATTAAATGCAAAGGTTCTGAAATATATTTAGGAGGAAAGAAATCATAGTACTAGAATAAAACAAGGAATAAATAGCTGGCTGGAGCAGTTGTTCTTACGGCACAGGGTCAGAGGAGACTAATTTGGCTGTTTGCGCGCTCTAAGTACATACAAAGTGACTGCAATTCAACAACCACTTTAGAGGGATTTTTATACAGTATGAGGGACTGAATAGAATCAGGTGCATGTATATTTATATCTGTAAGCCAGAAAGTGCTTTTACAATTCTCTCAAAAACAGAAGTACTTTTTTAAAACAACCATTACACACTGACTGTACATTTCACTCTTAAGAGCTAGGGTATCTCCATCTAGCCTTCAAGAGAGACATTCTGCAGGAGAAACACACAACCAGTCTTGAGGAAGAAAATATTTTTTATATTCATTTAGCTTAATTAATCAGATGATTAAAAATAATTCTTCTGCCATTAATATAAAGGTAACAAAATTGATCCTGTTTTTCCCCAACAATTTTTCCTCTGCCTGGTAGACTTAGTCGTGTCGCCATCTTCTTCCCAAAGCCATGTTGCTCAGTGTGCCAGTTACCCATAAAAAGGGGCACTCATGAACCATGGGTTCACATGACTGCCCATCTTTGTAGTAAAGAATCATAATCCAAGTATCTTCTGGAAGAAAATTCCATATTCAAAACGTTAGCAGAAATTATTTTTATGCAAAGCTGGTGGAATTTAAAAGTACTTTACAGACATACAACAGTTTTAAAATAAAAGTTCTGTTCTTTATCATCAAAAATGAAGAACTTCCCCTTTATGCAGTAAATCAGCCCTGAAAAATCTCCAAACATGAAGAGAATAAAAAGAAAAAAAAAAAAAAAGAGGAAGAGAATTTGAAAATTCAGAAGCAATATGTGAGAGGGTGAAAAGATCGTAGTGAAAGGAGAAAATGAAAGAAATGGTTAGGCAGTAAGGGGAACTCAGCGATCCAAATTTGAGAGAGCACTCCATTCTGTTAGTGAATATCAGTTAACGCTAAGAAGCACGTACCAATCCATTTAAGTTCTTTATGTTATTTCTTCCCAAAGACAGAATCCTCAAATTTTCTGCAACAGATAAAAAAAAGTTTCTTATTAATAAGACATTCTTTTTAAACTGCAAGAAGATGCTATAAGTCTGACAAAACCCCACATTTTACTTCTAAAAATATTTGCATTCTGAACAAGCTGTATTAAAAAAGAATGACATAACAGAAGCAAAAACTCTCTATATACATAGATCATCAGGAATGTCCAGTCTCTGGTGGACAGCTCAGAAACACATAGATGGATATAAAACTGTTCGTTGATACATTGCCTAGCTGAAATTTAGTCCCGATAGATACTGAACAAAAGCTATTATATTGTCTCCTGCTTGAACTCTCACTGCTGACTTGCTGGTTTTGATCTTACATGGTGCATGCCCTTTCTTCTCCAGGCAAAAGTTGTTTTGATCTTATTTTAAGGCAGAAGTATTTTTTTCTAAAATAGAGGCAGCATATGAAGCTACTTTGCAGAAGTCTGATGAGAGACATTTCAATTGGTCTAGCACCCAGATGAAATTCCTTTTCGAGTGAGTTGTTCTTGCTGGTTTTCAATGCAATACTAATACAATTTGCTATTTAAAACAGCAATCTTTTTGTGAAACTCATTTTCAGTTTTCACACAAGCCTCCTTCCAGATGTAAATATGCAAACTGTATTGTAGCATCTAGCTGGGTTAATTTTGAATCAAAACCTTCCTTGAATATTTCAAGATTTCTTCTTAACTGAATTAAGGATCAATTACTTAATGAGCTTGTTTTGCTCTTGTACGAACAATGATTGAAATATATTGTACAATATTTAATGGCAAGACCAAAGAATATTCCAATCAAGTAGATGGATGCTTAACATATGAAGAATCATAACCCATAAGTCTAAAGCCTACTACAGCTAATACTCTTCAGAATATCCCTAAGGATCCCTGCCCACAGAGGGCAGCAGCAGTAGGAGGCCTTTTGATCTAGCCAGCTATTCTTACTCTTGCTGAAATGCATGGTTAGAAATTGTAAGTCCGCATTAGCTTCTGAATTTTGCAAGAAATACAAGGATACTTAGAAATATCAAAATAACAGAATGCTTAAAAAGTCACTCCTTAAAATTTTTTTCTAAGTACTGTTACTGTTCTTTAGTAGTCTTGTTCTGAGAAATTTTATACTTTAGAGGAAGTAGATCTCCCTCACAGAATATTTACAGTCACTAAAACACAAAATGACCTGCTTTTTGCTACCATCTGAAAATCTTCCTCAACTGTACGGATACAAGGGTGTAGTCCTTTACACAAAATAATCTATCTACTCAACATATTTATAATTACAACTATAATTATAATTATAACTAGGAAGATACATTAACATTAATCTTTTCTGTCTGAAAAGAGTGCTGGATGGTTAAACAGATTTCTCAGCTTCCTCTCCACAGTGAACGAAAGCAAATATGTAATAGTTAGTGGCCTGATTTTCACAGCTATAAGCATTGCTTTCTCTCTCTCTTTCACAGAAAGCAACAGAAACTGAGAGTTTCTCGCTCTCTGTACCTTTAAAAGACAGACCACGTGGTTCTATTTTGTCTGCTTTCAGGATCAAATATTTGGTACAGACTGGATGTTTTGATTCTACATTTTATTCATATAAACATTCAAGATGCTTTAAAGGCTTTTAAAGTTTTCTCCCACTAAAGACTTTTTTTCAGTTTTCTATAATTGCTTAATCATTTTTTGCTTGTGATAGAGTTAATCGAAGTTAAATATTCACAGTAGTTATTTGGAAAGACTCTAATGGAGTGTTTTTTCCCCATCAGTATTTGCAAATTTGTTGAAGTCTAAGCATATTGTGTAGGCAGTTAAGTTCATCAGGCTCCCTTGAGAGCCCCATGGGTGTTTAGCTGGAGAGGATGGGATTCCAGGTTCCTTGTCCGTCCGCCTGGCAATTTGATGGGGACAGAAAAGCCTGGAAGTTCCAGTCCAAAACCTGCTGCTCCTTGCCACAGAGTGCACAGCTTGGGGACATACCATCAAGATTTCTGTCCCTAAAGTCAGCAACCCGATGGGTTTCAAGGTTTCATAGAGCTAGAACAGCTGCCCAAGAAACAAGAGCTCAGTTCCACCTGTAGACAGTTGGCTTCCCCTCACCCCAGCACACCCCTTTCAGATAAGACCAGAATCAAAACCAGTATAACTAAATCCTCTGCAAAATGGAATGACATTTTTCCACACCCAGGTCTACAACCTCAGCAAAAGACAATACTGCAGATAAAAAGCTGTTGAACTGCAGACTCTCTCCATCATCAGTGTGGAAACTGGTCATTAAATCCCTCTGGATCTGTTCAGATGTTGAACATCACAACTCAGGCCTACTGGGAGTTGTAAAGGTGTTTTCTGTATGGACGTTTTGTTGTTGTTAAACTTGCATAGGACAACTGCTAAGACTAGTGCATATGGATATATGCTTTAATACACCATTACTACTAAACATGCATTCTCCAATAACGGTGATTTTAAAGATCATACATAATTTTCTAAGGGAAAGGAATTAAAAAGGATAAGACTGGGTATACAGCTAGATAGAGGTTATGGTATACATCCAATCCAAGCAACTAGAAAATGAATATAATCAACCACTGGCTTGTCACTTACTCAGGCTGTTCAAGTTGGCAATTCTTTCAATGCAGTTTGTAGACAATGACAGCTTCCTTTAAAAGGAAGAATAATCAATCAGTTTTATGCTGACAGTATAAGAGGGATCACTGACAGAAGAGTTCCACTTCCAAACACCACTACATTAGGAATAAATTACAAATTATTTTTCTCTCATTAGATGGTGAACTAACTAAACATGTGAACAGACTTATAATATCTTCAAATCATCAAGATTTCCGCAACCTTATTTAGCTTCTGGGAAACTACCACCAGTCTACCCTTAACAAACGGGCAGCCATTTCTTTCTGAAATGGCTGTAATTTCTTTCTAAAGGTTAGGTCTACTTTCTCTCTCTTTCTCATTTCACACAGAGATGTTATTACAACAGTTTGGTCAGTTAAACAGCAGCCATATTTCTTTGGTACCCAGAGATACTTAGATACCTCTGCATGCCACTGCACTTTGTCATTCGGGCACATTCACCAAGACAGTTCATTGTACAGTTACAACCTTAACACTGTACGAGTCAGTACAAATAGAATTTTATGAAGAACCTCAGATTTGTTGTCATTAAAGGCAGAAAGAGCCTGAACAAGTGGATGTGATATTGCAGACTCTGGTTTACAATACCAAAGAAAAATATATAAATGGATTGCAAATGTGTCTGTTACTTGGTAGACTGCAGACACAGACCTGTAATGATATACTGGTGAACAATCTGCTAATTTTCTGAGGACAATTATTGATACAGAATCTACCCTAGCATCTTGTCAGTTAAGTGACAAGAATCATAGGAAAAAAAACACTCAAACAAGCAGGAACTGTGTGTGGAAGGAGAAGCCCAGCTGAGAGAAAAAAAAGGTGCTGCTTTCAAGGCCGCACTGAAACATAGCAGATACGTGGACAACAGAAAAACTGAAAAATAATATAAAGAAAAGAGAATGTTTGTTTTCCAGTTTGTTTTTAACTGAACTTACTCGCAGTTAACAAGCGTGGAGAGAGATTCATCCATCCTCTCTACAGGAGGAATCTGACCATAGAGTTTTACCTCCTTCGCCTCTGAAGCCTTCTGTCCAGTTTTTTCTTCCTAAAGAAAACAGAAAGCAAAGATACTCACTGGCACATGCAATTATTATAAATTAATTCCAGGACACTAATAAAGTTATTAATGAAAAGGGAAAACATTTTGAATAATGTTTATCAAGATACCTGCCAGTGTTGCTTTTCTGAATGACACTTGAGCCCCAACAACCCAATTTCACTAAATCACAAATATAGCCTGAATTAAAAAAAAGGGGGGGAGGAGTAAAGAGGAGAAGGTCAGCTCATTTCCAAGGTATTAAAACACTTACACATTACATACACTTTCTTTTTTTTTTAAAAAAGCTGTGTTATGCTTGAGCAATTTGATTCAGCGATCCTCTGTTAAAATGAAATGGAGAATAGGTGGAGATTCGAAATGCTGAATCAAAGCATGGAGACCGACAAATGGGAGCCTGAACTAGGGCCAATCTCTAGCAGAAGCAGACACTTAAAAACTGCTAGAAAACTCTCCTTTCCACTTCATCCAGAAAACTCACTAACCAAAAAATCGTCCTGACTCAAAACAGAGCATAAGAAAACCCTTTTGTTAAAGGGAAAAAAAACATCTGGAATGCAGCTCAACATCAGATCCAATTTTACAACTCACATGGACTCAAATTAGGAATAGGAAAATGAAGAGTTAAAGCTCTCTCCAAAACTACATGGACAGAAGAGCAAATTCAGCATTTCTTATTTAAAAGAAACTCACTGACATAATTCTATTATCTCTACAAAACACATAATGGAGAAGCAAATGTAAAATAAATCTTTAATAGGAGACATGGAGTTGAGGTTTTGGAGGGCAGAGAGAGGGAGGGAGGAAAATGGAAAAATATCAGAATTTTTAATACTCAATTCACATCTCTAGTAATGCTACTTTCCACAAGACATTGCATTCTAGCTGTTACGACAGCAGGAGTGAAGTTTGTGGGATATACCAGTGCAGCTTTAAAAAAAACTGAGATACTGGAAGTACTAAACAATGGTAACACTCAAAAAGTAATCTTCAGTTACAGTGTAGTACCTTAAGCTGGTGGTAAAGATCTTCTGGCTTTCAACCGTACCTGCCCACACTATCTCATACAAAGATCTTCTAGAGACCAAAACTGTTTGTATTCTTGCTCTAGCAGCTGGACAGAACTAGAGGGGGCCTATATATATGCAGAATGACACATCTATGCACTAACCTAAAATTCACTGAGATTGGGGAAAATTCTCACTGATTTCAGCAAGCTGTGAACCTGACCCCAGAGGCATCCTACAGCATCATCTGAAATGACATCCATGTCCACTCCAAAAAACAGCTTTCTAGAAGGTTACAAGACCAGCTCAGTCACACCCGGTGACTGTTTGTATTAGCGGTGTACTTGAAGGAGAAAAACAAACAAGAAACTCATTCAGAGTTAAGCTTCGCACAGTGGACAAGAGGCCTGTGTATTGCTGCTGCAGAAAAACGCTGATATAATAGTGCTAAAACTTATTCTACACCACTACACTAAACAAGCAAATATTATGTGTTGAAATGAACCCACTAGAAGCTGGGTGAGGGAGCTGAATTTTTGAGCATTGTTGGTAGCTTTTCCTATGCAGTCATTTTAGCACTGTTAGAAGGCAATGGCAGATGTCTCACTGACTTCAGTACAGTCAGCGTTTCATACTTATTTATTCTGTGGGAGGGACTATACTCAGGTAAAATGAACAAAGCGTAATTAAAATATAAGATATCCCGAACTGATATCCTGAATCTCTCTGTAGCTTCAGGCCTTCTACCAATGCATATTCAGCTGAACAAGGCAAGGCAGAAAACTGACTTATCTTTACCAGCCATATAATTTTAAGAAGAACACAAAGAAATTCGAACAGAATTGACTGCACATTGATAACAGCAACAAAAATTTTACTTTTTGAAATTATAGCAGTAGATGTTTCAAGTAAACATATTTGTTACAAAGTTTGAAAAATAAATTTATCTGAACATCGTCAAAATCCATGCCACAGAGTAATGCAAACGAGCTAGATACTGTTCTAGTACTTACCCGTTCTAGTACTTACCCATTTGGCTAGAGCTTCTCTGATAGTTGTTGCTTTTGCCTAAAAATAAACAAATGAAAATTAACATTCCTTGCAATTTTTTAGATGGCTCGTTCACTGCAAACCGGTTTCCTCTCCCTTTTATCTCCCTTACCTGCTTGTCAACCCCCTTCTACCACTTTCCTCTGTTACCTTCCTATAGCTGGTTCTAAGAAGTAGGAATGAGCACAGCTCCTTAGTGGTTCTTAATTTTATTTTCTGGGGTAGCATTTTCTGGTATTTTCTGGTAGCATTTTCATAAGGAATCAGTTGACTTCACACAAGCACATTATCTTCTTGATCTTACTCTCTGTGTAGGCTGGAGAATGGGTTTGGGACACTGCTTGTTAGTTTTGATGATGAAATTTAATTGAATTTGAAGAAATTAGAAGTTAGTATACTAAAAAACATGGTCTAGTCCTCTTAAAAATATGCTTTCTATTATTATGTATTATGCAACTTGCTGTCTGAAAGTAAGTCAATGAATAGGTAGAAAGATAGAGCCTGTTAAGATTCACTGAGGAAAATAAGGCACATCTTGCCAAAGCTCAAGGGCAGGCTGAAATATTTATATTTGTCTTCATTTTATGTCCAGTCACATCATGTTATTGAAAAACATACATTATGCAGTTAAAAAAGAACCAAGAGCTACTGTACTAAGCTAAGATTTTTCACAGATCAACCCACGGACCAACTTTCTGTTGTCACTAACTCCAACTCTTCTGGCTCACGTTAGGAGTTTCATCAAAGCCAAACGACCGTCTCCATCCAAAAACAGTAGTACATAGAGAAACTCCGACATATCCTAAACTTTAAATATATCCCGAGAGGTCTTTTGGATGAAAACGGTTCCACTAAGACTGGTTGTTCACAAAAACTGCTCAACAGCTTCCTTCCTATAAAATCAGGAAGACTCCAGCTCTATTGCATCTCTGTTGATCTTAAGCATAGCACTGCAACATCTGGCTCGAAGCAGCCTTTCAGGTAATCAAATACCAAAAAAACAACTGCATAGATGAAAACCAACGAACTGACTTCCACCCAAAATCCTATGGGTAATCCCTTCAGGTCCCAGAGCTATAAGGTTGTGTACTGTATTGCTCTAGAACACTAGAAATTCTGGACCCAATGATAAATGGTAACAGTTGTGGTAATTGCAAATAAAAGAATGATTACAGTCACTGAATACCCCCAAACAGGCCAAGACCCTGGATAATACTAAGGACTCTGAACACGCATCTCAGATCTCAAAATATGCCTTCATTTAGACATATGTCACTAAGCATCCCCAGGTGTTCTAGCTACTTCCTTCCACTGAGTGATACTCATTTTAATCCTCCCTACATTGAGTTATAGTTAGCTAGCTGGCTTCTCTAGGTCCAGCTGCAGGCAGCCTGATAAACCTGTGCTATCATAGTTCCTCCCTGGTGCCTGGTGTAGGTTAGCAGCTGAGTGACCTCCTCCTGTTTAGGACGTCACAGCCCCCTCTGACAGTCTCATCAAGCCCCATTAAGGGACCAGCGTGCCAGCAAAAACAACCGGCTTCCAGGTAATCGGTTGTTTTGGCCAGGGACTTGCTTGCATTATTTTTCATGCTTGTGCTAGCCCACTATTACGGCATCAGGATCCCAGTCACCAATTATTAAAGACAGAAACTGGTCTACGTGACCTGTGCCTGAACCTATTTCAAACTCATGCCTAAAACAGATTGGATTTTGAAGCTAGTGATCCATGTGAACACAAAGAGCACTTTCTTCCCTGACCTCTGCAGACTTGCCTCTCTCGTTATAATATCTGACTTGGTGGAAAATAAGAAAATCAGCAGAAGTGGCTTATCAGGAGAACATGTGTTAGGGATTTTGCTTTGTTCCTTGAAGTGCACTTGAAATTTCTTTAAGCAAATCATGCTATCTTCTGCCAAGGGAGGTTACTTAACAGAAACCTCCAAAGAGCCTATTTTCAAGAGTCCTCTACCTGCATATTGAAAATCCTCCTACAGGGATTTAGATGTAAGGAAGTCATATTATTGAACTATATTTCAAGCATTCACATCTCCAAATGCTCAAAAGCTGGAATCATTACCCTGAACGGCCACCATCAACACTGCACGAAGAAGAAAAACAGTACCCGAAGGAAGGGAGAGGAGAAGACCCTATATATATAAAAACCACAACAAAATAAATGCCTTTCCCCCCCCCAAAAAACACGGCTTTTAGACACAGAATGTTTTGACACAGAATATTTACAAAATTCAGACCTCCAGGAAAAAGTAAAACAGCAACACTTTGCCTTCATTTGCATACATTTATTGATATGTTTAAGTGACTTTCACAGCAACAGAAACCAGGCCAAGCAGCATAGTGACTGCAGGTACCGCTGCCTTAAAACCTTCCAGTAATTTTTTTTCTTTTTTAATTAATAGCATCCTCGAGTCCCAACAGCTACAGGATGCGAATTAATTAGCGCCCCCTACTTTGATCTACTCCCGACCCTCTGTTCTCCCCGGCGCGGTGACAGGCCACAACTCCAGCGCCACAGCCGACCTGCGGGCCGCCT